GATATCATCTTGATTGCAATCACACACGCTGGGACAACTGGGCGTATGCTTAATGCCAGCCTTCTCTCAGGGAAACACTCTTAAGATGGTCCGCAGATAAAAAGTTTAATTGAATTTCATGCAAATTGCATTCATGAATTTGTTTTTAATTAGAAAACTTGCCAGATCTCCAGGCTGCCAGACTATGAATATGAATCGGACCACAAAGGCCGAGGGGTACGGCAAAATATTTGCCCATCTAAGTGACTTGCTGCAATTTTACGGATGAAATGCTGAGGATTTATGGTTTCCCCAGTTTGTCACACACAAATTCGACCCCAATTAAAACCGAAATGGACTCCCAAACATTCCTGTAGTATTCCAGCAAAGACAATGAACCAATGACAGATTGTAATTAGATAGAAAGTTGAGCTGTGGTTGTGACATTTTCTCGAGTTCAATTACTGGTCAAAATGTTAAAAGTTGCCTGTAGTCAGTCGATAAACATTGTCCACACACCAGAAAATTTATATGCATACTCCCGTAAACAGATGGATAAATTGGCAAATGCCAGACTCTGAAAACTGAATCAAAAAGTAAACTTTGGAAGGCAAACTTTTTCAACTGCAATCTCCAATTACAAACGGGGGATCAACAAAATGTGCTGGGGCCAGTAGAATTTCGGAATGCCTTCCCCGAAAGCCCATCGGAGAATCGAATTCTCCAAAGCCCCCTTCTGCAATTCTCGCAGCATTTCTCTCTGGTTTAAAAGTAGAGCCACCTACGGAAGTTGGTTCCAGTGGCAGCAGTTGCAGGAGTTAACCAAAAACGGAAATTTATGACCATACAAGATCCGATATACGGTAACAACACAGTTCAGCAGGCAGTGGCAAGAGGGGGAGGTGGGAATTATGGGTGGCTGCTGCATTTCGGATAGCAGAGGCACTTGGAGAAAATACTAAGAAGATGTTTCATTTCCATTCTAGTTTAAAGATCTTTATATTTGGAAATCATTTCTATTATTAAGAGTTTTTAAACTTTCCCTTTCAAATCGTATTTTAATCATTGTTTCACTTTTCTTTAATGGAATAGTTCTTAGTTTTTAGGGATATTTCTTCTCTGTTGTCCTGCAAATTGTGCACACAATTGTCTTGGCATTACGCACAAGTGAAGTGCGTTTTTGGTTTGGGCCATCGTAAATTACGATTGCCAGGGAGTTGGCTCAAGTGCGAACTGTTTGCCGAGTCGGAGGCTACGGGGGCCTCGATAAACCCCGGAGGACACTACACCAGCTGGCCATAAATCGAAGAATTTGAATTATGAAATCTTCCTTTCTGCCGCCCTTGCAAATTGAGTGCCAGGCAATTGAGTTTTCCGAACTGAACCGAATGTAAACAATCGGTTTATTCCGCCTGTCAAGTGCCACGCCCCCGCTGCCATTAGTCAGTGTATGACAATGCATAAATTATGGGAATTATTTATGAAACGCCAGTAGAAACATTTGGCCACAAATAAATGAATAAGGCCGAAAGTTAACCAAAGAAAATCTGAGATCATAAGGAAAGGCGCCGGAAGAGGCAAACTCATGGCGGCAATAATCATAAATTTTGTGGTTAATTAATTTATTGGGATTGAGTGCGGAAGCAGGCCATTTGACTCTTTACTCTGACTCTTGCGGGCATTTGATTAACTAAATATCAACATAAGCAATTGCATACTTAGGTGGGCAGAAAAGAAGTCTGGGTGGGGAAAGTGGGTGAAGCTCATAAATCATTGCAGGCTTCTAGGCGTGACCTTGGCCATCAAGTGGAATAATGAACTCGGAATAAAAGTGAGAGTTTGTTATGTGCTTAAGTTGTAGGTGTGAAATAAGCTTATGTGAGAGATAAACGCGATATGAATTTGTATTTTATTTTAAAAGGAACTGAATTCATGCAAAAATGTAATTTAGCAGATATAACACACAAAATTACATCAATTAGCCGCCCTAAAAACCAAAGTGTATTATATTTCGTATATTTTCTGACAAATTATGCCATACAGTTTAATCAAATTTGCACAACTTGCAGGCTCAGTACCTTTCAGTTCATAGAAACAAGCCTTGGGATTTCAAACTGCAGCATCAAATTTCATGCCACAAAGCTCTGGTTTACATTCGTAATTCTGTGGAATTTTTAATTGTAACGTAAATGTGTGCCCGTGCAGGTTTACCCTGGAAAACTGCATATAAATGTATTCAAATGCAAATTTCCAGCTCTGCTGTATAATTAGAGGAAACACAATTATTTATACACACATGCAGATGCAAGCACACACTGCACTGGCCCTTGCATGCTGATATAATAGTCAAATTCATTAGCCAAAGAAATGCTGTTAAAACCGCACAACCAAAAAAGTGCAGCGAGTGAGAGTTTCTGGCTGAAATGAAAATTCATTCGAATTAGATTCGGAGAGCCGTGAAAGAGCTGGGAAAACCAGGAAAACCTCCAATGAATACCATCGCAAAACGAAAATGATTTCTTAATGCAATTTCTTACACATTCTACAGCTTTTTTTCACCCATTGTTCGGGCTTAAATCTCAATCGCACTTTGGGTCTAAAGAAATTCCGGGTAAAAAAAGCAAAATAGCAGCACATAAAGCATAATAGGGAGGGTGGCCGACTTTCCCCACCGCTTTTCCTGCCATTTTCCATGGGTTTTTCTCCTTTTTTGGGAGTTGCATGCGTATCAGCTAGAGACTTCCGGCGGTGTCTTTGTGAAGCTGATCCCCGGCTCAAGGATTTTTTCGGTAGCTCTGCTGACAGGTTGAAAGCATCATATATAGTGCTTTTCTATGCACTGAGAAAAAAGCTTTAAGGCTTTAGGCTTTTAAGGTACAATATTTCCCAATTTAAATAATTTATTCCACTTTTAACTTTAACTTTCTTCTTTATATTTAAATATTTTTTAACACTTAGTATCCTTTAAGTCTGGATTCGATACTTTCCAGTGCATGTTCTATTTATTTGCTTTTTTGGGCCAAAGAAAAATAAAAGAGAAACGGGCAGCCCTTTACCCTGTTCAGGGCAACTATCATTGGGTGTCATAAATATTTATCAAACCGAAGGTGAGCTGCTTTCCCACTTAAGGTGACCCGAAAACCCGAAAGAGATCCGGTTGAAAGAAAAAGAATTAAATTTAATTTGCATACGTTAAGTGGCAGAGGCAATTAAAGCCACCGAGAAGAAAGGACAAAGGCCTTTTGATTGAGATGTGAAAGGAGCCGCGGCAAGGGACAAAAGAAAAGTGGGTGAAAAGTGGGAAATCATAATTGGCTTCCAAATGCTTGAACTCAATTATGTGCGCACAATTTTTGGGGCCTCGACGACAACGACGGCATTGCTGCCGTTGACAGGCAAATTATGGATTCAAGGCTAATACACACACACACACACACACATATTTCGCCAGTGAAATGGCACTTTCACTTTGGGGAAAGCTCAAGACAATTTGCATAGCGTCCTGCCTGGGGAAAATTACACAACAAGCCGGAGTGAGGCGGAGGTGAAGTCACGACCCCAGCAGACATGATAAATTACTCCAACATAAATTAAAGATAAATCATGGCTGCAGCTTCTTGCACACACACGATTGAAATGCACAAGGAAATTCAGCCAAATGCAAATTAGGACTATGGCAGGGGGTCAGATATAGCAACTACATAGATAGATAGAAACCATATCCAGTCGAGGGGAAAGACAGCGGAAGGCAATCACACTCGGGCGACAGTTGGGCAGGAAGAAGCTTGATGTTTACTTGAAAAGGAAAGTCCAGATTACTATAACTATTACACTAAGAGCTATTTTATCAAGTAAGTACATTTTATCCATTCACTTTTCAATCTTAAATAATAACTTTGAAAATAAATATACTTTTTATATAGACAGCTCTTTGATTTTCCTTCTAGTCCACTTCTCTAAATCTTTCCAGTTATTCAGAAAAATGGAAAAACGTGCAGTCTGCAGTTTAAAAATCTCGTGGAGGAAAAACCAGAGCTCTGACCAGGAGCATGACCACTCCAGGTCAGCTTAGCGTAACCGTGTGCATCGATGTTGATGTGGGGCAGGGCAGGGGAAAACACGATTCGGCAAGAGAGTCACGTAGTAATCGACACATTCCCAAAATTCCACGCCAGTTTATTAAGACCGGATGTCGGTGAGTTGACCATGAAGTGACCTGAACTCGGTTTGTCCCGGGCAATGATAGTAATGTGGTGATATTGCCACTGGTGACAAAGTCAAGAAATCATTCTTTTGCGGTTATAAAAAGTTATTAGCGGATGAGAATACATAATGATGACCCTAACTGTACTTAACATATGTTGTTTGTTTACCTAAATTGTCTAAATTTTCTTCTAATCTCAGAACCTTATAATTAGATTATCAAGTGCGTTGAGAGCGATGTTCACCTAAATTCGCATTCGCTATTTGAGCTTAACCCACTAGGTACCAATTTTGGCTGCAAGAAAAATTAAAAGCCAATATACCTGATTACAGAAAACAAACTTGGGAGCATTTCTTTTGTTTCGGAATATTTAATTTAATATTTAGTATTAATATTGTTAACCACATAAACTTTAACTCACAACTAAAAATATATCATTTCAGTTGTCTTCTAATAATCTCAAAAAATGTTGACACACATGGGTTAATATTCCTTTCTATAATGTCATCCGCCTGTCTGTGGCGCACTATCTCACTTTTGGGCATTAGCCGATCATATGTTTCCCAGATTTTGTCATATTGTTGTGATCACTGCCAAAAACACGAATTAGTTGATGAAAAGCAGTCGAAGCTGCAAGTTGAAATTTTGGCAATATTTGTGCTCTTTTCGTATGACGTCTGAGTGGATGAAATAACAAAGATAACAGACGGGGAAAATAACTGGAGCATATCAACAAGTTCCAGGCTGTCTGAGACGTCAAAAACCGTTCTTTGGATAACAAAGTTATAAACAGGTCTGTTTCTAGATCGGAAATAGTGATTGCAATTGCTAAGCCAACAGACTCAATGGAAACTTTAAAGCCAAGCAATGTGAGTAATAAAAACAAAAAAATAAAGTAAAGAAAGTGAAACCGATGATTTGATACTCTAGCTCTCAAAATAAATAATCAGTTATGTTAGACCTTTAATAAGGATTAAAGAATATGTTGATACAATTAAAATAATTAAAAATTTTGTTAATATATGTATAGAACGAAATTGACTCTGTGCTTATCAGATCAAATATTTAATAAAGTTAGACATAATCCCTTTTAGGGTACATCAATAGCAAACAACATCGAAATAGTTGAGAGCCGCGGAACATAACATCGAAATGGTATTGTGATAGGTCAAATATATTTGCGAAATTCTAATCACGAGATTTTAGTTTTGAACCTTTTGAAAATCTAAAAATATATTTTCCTTATCTCTATTCTCCTAAATAAAATAATTTATATTTTCAGAACGGTCTGAAGTACGATGAGGTGATAATACCAGCACCTTGGGGTCACATCTCAGGTCGCTGGTATGGTAATCGAACTGATAGACCTATTTTGGCAATCCACGGCTGGCTGGACAACCTGGGCACCTTTGATCGACTGATTCCTCTGCTTCCCGACTACATAGGAGTGCTCTGCATTGATCTTCCCGGACACGGTAGATCCTCTCGACTTCCGGCGGGTGTGCACTACAATGTCTACGACTATGTGTTCATCATTCCAAGGGTGATGAAGGAGTTCGGCTGGTCAAGGGTCTCTTTGATGGGTCATTCGCTTGGCGGAGTAATGAGCTTTATGTATGCGGCAATGGCGCCAGACACAGTCGATATGATCATATCACTGGATGTACTGCTGCCCCGCAGGGTCGAGGATCCCAGCAAGCTGACAAAGGACATTGAAGGCTATATGGTGGAGGAGAGACGGCAGGCAGATGGCACAGAGCACGAACCTCCATCCTTCACCATTAGTAAGATGCGTAATGTTCTTGCCAGAAACAGTAACAACTCGGTGCCACAACACCTGGCCGATCACATGCTCCACCGCCAGGTGAAAAAGTCGCAGATGTACCCGGAGAAGGTGTTTTTCTCTAGAGACGGACGTGTAAAGTTCTATCATATATTCGACATTGAAAACGGCCTGGCTGCAGAGATGGCAAGAAGAATTCAGAAGAAACCCTATCTGGTGATTAAGGGAGCCCTGTCACCATTTGTTGGACCTCGATGTGACGAGGCCATGTCCATACTGTCCCAGGATAACCCCCACTTTGAATTCTACGAGGTGAAAGGAGCCAAGCATCATGTCCATCTTCATGCAGCAGAGGATTGTGCCCGCTACATCGTTCCCTTTATCAGGAGTCACAGGCCTTCGAGAAGTAGCAAACTGTAGAACAGCTTCTCAAGACTTATTAGACTTCTTTATTTTTACAATCCAATTAATTATCTCAGTGAGATATAAGTTAGTTATAGGAGAAATTGTGAAACATCTACGTTGGAGTGTTTTGCCTTGGATCACTAGAATATAGGAGACACGAAACTTCTCCACTCCTGATCTTAAAGTCTTCTACAAACCTCTTGAAACATTGAATATATAAAAACCTTTTTGAAATCGAAAAGCTTTGATGCAATAACCTTTGAACAAATCTATCGCGAATTTTGGCAAGCTTCTTAAACATTATCTCGATTACTGATAATGCACATTTTAAACGTTGCTAATCTACACCGACTTCAAAGTTAAACTTAGTTGATGCCCGATTGCTAAAGCTTTCACACCAAAATTTGCAGTCCAAGACCAGTTAAATGGTAATATTTCATTGCCATTATAGCCATTATAGATTAATATAATAATAAAAATGGAGAACCATATATCCATAGCTGAAGTAAGATTATTTTAGATATTAACAACCAAATTCTAATTATTTCCTCCTAAGCAGTACAAAGCACCACCTGCTTCACCGCCAGGTGAACAAATCAAGTCTTAACTCTGACATGTTTTACTTTTCCAGAGACAGGCGTTCCAGATTTTACAACTACTGGGACTTCGAAGCAGAGCTTGGTGCTGAGATGGCTAGGAGTATTGGCAAGAAGCCATACCTCGTGATCAAGGGATCTTTTTCGCCTTATTTAAGCCCTCGAAGTGACGAGGCCATCTCAATTCTTTCAAAGGATAACAACAATTTTGAGTTATATGAAGTGGAGGGCGGCACCCATCACTTTCATTTGGAGTTTCCCAAGGAGTGCGCGAAGTACATCGTTCCCTTTATCCAAAAACATCGTTACTTTGCAGTGTTAACTAAGGAAAGTTGTACCATAAATCAGGAAACTCAGGCCAAGCTGTGAATATATAGCAATAAGTACTGGAATCGGGGGTCACTGCACTCATATCGCCCATTCTCTTATCCATGTTAGAAAGTTAAGATTAAATTCTATATATAAAAACACATTCAAGGCTAAAGATACCCACAGATACAGAAAAATGGTAGATCGCCATAAGAAGTAACCTCTGTGTTCTTTATTTTGGTAATCTTAATGGAAAGATTTTGAAAACTTTTTAAATAAAACGACATTTTGAATGCCATTCACCCAGAACAAATATCAAAAGCTTTTTCGCTCATCAAAAGCTTTATTATTGTTTTGGTTTTCCGACTTGGGCAGAAATCACTCAGCAGCCAAGCCTAAAGCACGTGAATATTAAGAAGTTTGTTTTTTTTTTATATTTAGCTCCTAATTAATGTTCTAAGTACGTTTTTAGAGAGTAACAACAAGTTAGTATTACCAATGGATATCAAATGCAGAATGCAATGCATAATGATTGAAAAGTGGGTAAAAAGACGTGAACATATACGACGTCATTGTGATCTTATCTTCCACTCTTATTAGTTGTTAAAAGCTTTTTTAGATTAACAACTCTTAAGAAACTCTCTTAAAAAGATTATTTAAACGAACTCTTTTCGGTTCGGGCTAGTTACTAAACATAAAACATTTAAGAAAGTAAATTAGTTTGTGAATGGAAGTTAATACGATCGGTCGCATTAACTATTTATAAAGAAATTAACGAACTGTCGAAGATAATAACTAATGTGCTGATAGAAAACCAGTTAAGCCGTGTCATATTTTGAAAGAAATGGGAACATTATCACTAAGTGATGTAAGTAAGCCTTAAGAATAGCGACCTTTGCTCACCAATTAATAAGTTTAATCTCAAAATAATTGACGATTAATTGGTTTAAGGTTAATACAAATTCCAACATTTTCTAGTACGAGACGGTGAAGATCCCAGTGCCTTGGGGATACATTTCGGGTCGTTGGTATGGCAACCGAAAAGAGCGACCCATCCTGGCGATCCACGGCTGGCTGGACAACCTGGGCACCTTCGACCGGCTGATCCCCCTACTCCCCGACTACATAGGAGTACTCTGCATTGATCTGCCTGGACATGGAAGATCTTCGCACCTACCGCCGGGAGTCTACTACTCCGTCTACGATTATGTGTTTATAATTCCGCTTGTGATGAAGGAATACGGATGGTCGAAGGTCTCCCTCATTGGTCACTCCTTAGGAGGAGTCCTGTGCTTCATATTCGCCGCTCTGTCCCCTAACACAGTGGACATGATCGTCTCCCTGGACATATTGCTGCCGCATAGAAATGAAGTAAAGTATATGGCCTTGAGCATAGAAAAGCAACTTTTGGAAGTGGAGCGGCAAAAACTGGGAAATTACACAGAGCCACCCTCCTACACATTCAGTCAGTTGGGAAAGGTTCTGGCAAAGGGAAGCTTAAACTCCGTATCCCCCGACCTGGCCCATCACCTCCTCTACCGTCAGTTGAAAAAGTCGAAGCTATATCCTGAGAGGTACTACTTCGCCAGGGATGGACGAGTCAAGCACTATCACTATATAGACATCGATCAGGGACTTGGCGCCGAAATGGCGAGACGGATCCGCAAGAAACCCTACTTAATTATTAAGGGATCTTTGTCTCCGTCTTTGTCACAACGTTCTGATGAAGCTTTGAGTATTTTGGCAGAAGACAACCCTCACTTCGAGTTATATGAAGTGGAGAATGGCACCCATCATATCCATCTCCATGCCGCTGAGGAGTGCGCCAGTTACATCGTGCCTTTCATCCAACATCATCGACCACCTGCCTTGACCTCCTGGACCCTAAGTGGAAAAGAGGATGGCCCTAGTTTAAAGAAGCCGAAAGGATTCTTTGCGTGGACCAAGAAAAAGCGAAGCAAGTTGTGAAATCTGAAGTGTACGAAGTCCACTCTAGTATTAACCCACTACAGGCATCAAATTACATTTTAATTACAACTACGGAAAGTAACTTACTCCTTCATAATTCTTTCACTTTGAAAGATCTTTAAGTATTACTATCCATGTAAACCTGTTATGATTTTGTTTAAATAAACAAATGTACATAAGTAATTAAAATAAAGAATAATTTAAAAAAGGAAATGTCAATGAAATGTTTTTGACTACCAAAGGTAATTCTGATTTTTCTTATTTACAACTTTTTTAAGAGAAATATAATAAATCTTCTCTCTTTATTAGCCATTTCTGCAGCCACTCTTATAACTCTTCCACAATCTCTTTTTCAGAACCCTAAAACGCAAACCTCGTTGATAATCTGAATCAGTCGTTGAACAGCTGTTACACCTGTAAGGGGGAAAGTTCTAAAATAGCAATTCCGGATTCTTAATCGGAACGTTAGCGTTCCAACCAGATACTCTAGATAATACGCAGAGTGGTGCCACAATTACTGGACCGAGTCTAAACATCAAAGTACAAGGTGCTTTCGATCGGGATGGGAACCTTGTCACTGAGCGATGTGAGTAAGCAAAAGTTTATATATATAAAATCATAAACCATAAAAATGATAAGCAATTGGCATCTACCATTACATTTCATTTGTTTAACTTCACAGTGAAATTCGATTAATTGGCATATCTACGGATTCTTTTAATTGGCATATCTAAAAGGATGTTTTCTGCTGCACTCAATGTCTATAATCACAAAACCAAAATTACTTAAAGCAATCATGAGTTATATAATCTGTAAGTGGAATAACTTCACAATTAGAGCAACTAACTACCATGAAGTGCATCTAACATTATACTCCTCCCTTAGTTTAAGGAGGTTCAGATCCCTGCTCCTTGGGGTCACATTGCAGGACGTTGGTATGGCAATCGACAGGAGCGACCGATCCTTGGAATCCACGGATGGCTGGACAATCTGGGCACCTTCGATCGATTGATTCCTCTACTGCCCGACTATATAGGATTGCTCTGCATAGACCTGCCTGGACATGGAAGATCCTCTAGCATTCAACCGGGTATGCACTATAGCGTCTATGACTACGTGTACGTTATTCCACGAGTGATGAGGGAACTTGGCTGGTCGAAGGTTTCTCTTATGGGTCACTCATTGGGAGGCTTTATGAGCTTCGTTTACACATCACTGGCTGCTCATACTGTGGATATGGTCATATCCTTTGAAATATTACTGCCAAGAACAGTGATTCCTAAAAAAGCAGTGGACGTAGTGGCTCAGAGCATGGAGAGGCATCTGGTGGAAGAGGATCGTCAAGGAGAGAGTAATCCGCAAAAGACGCCCTCTTATACACTATCTGAGATGACAAAGATCATTGTCAAGAGGACCATAAATTCCGTGACGCCTGAGCTGGCTAAGCATCTTCTTCACCGCCAGGTGGTAAAGTCTCCCCTGTCCCCGGACAGATTTTTCTTCTCCGGAGACGGTCGGGTTAAGTTCTACCACCTATCGCAAATGGAACCTGGACTCGCTGTGGAGATGACGAAAATAATCAAAAAGGTTCCCTTCTTGTTAATAAAGGCTTCCAAGTCGTCCTTTGTCGGCGTTCAATGTGAGGTGCCTATATCCATGCTGCGGCAAAATAATCCGCACTTTGAACTCCACGAGGTGGCGGGTACTACCCATCATATCCATCTACTATTCCCTGAGGAGTGCGCCCGTTACGTTGTGCCCTTCATCCAACGTCATCGACCACCTTCTTCTTGGTCATTGGCTGGAAAAGAGCAACCACTCTGTTCTAAGAAGATCCAAAACAGCAAACTGTGAAGTAATTTTGGTATTATTATGAAAATTTTAGATTTAAGGGTATGGAAAAGATGCTCAATCAAGACCATATTTAAGCAAGAAGCTGTCTGCAGCTGATCATGAAATGTGTAAATAAAGCCTGTCTAATGGAGGTTGTTTTTTCTAATTCTCTTTTTGGGGTTATTTCTTAGCTCTCTTAATAAATAGTACCTCTCTCTTATCGGCTCTTTCCTAGCTCTTACAGACATTTTCTCTTTGGTTAGTTTTCTGAAACGATAAAATCAATATTGTGATTTAGTCGTAGAACAGCTGTTGTAGCCGAAAGAGGTGCCACTTTTTGAATTGCTGAATGATGGAATTTTGAGTGAAACTTCAGCCAGATACTTAAGATAATACGTGGTGCCACCATTTCTGGTTCTAAGCCAAAAGTTGCCGACGGACAAAGTTCAAAATACAGCCGGTCGGGATGGGAACTTTGTCATTAAGCGATGTGAGTAAGCAAATAAAAGAAATCATAAACAAAAAGAGATAAGCTGAAGTTACCGGTAAAAACAAAAGAAGAAACTGCCAAAGAACGGAAAAACTGTAAAATCATTAAACAAAATATAAATCAAAAGTCTTCTATAGGCAATAAAACGGATTTTAATCTCATTTATAGTTTAAGGAAGTGAGAATCCCAGCACCTTGGGGTCACATATCAGGACGCTGGTATGGTAATCGAACTGAACGACCGATCTTGGCAATCCACGGATGGTTGGACAACCTGGGCACCTTCGATCGATTGATTCCCCTACTTCCCGACTATATAGGAGTGCTCTGCATCGATCTACCTGGGCACGGAAGATCCTCTCGACTGCAACCGGGGATGCACTATAATGCCCACGATTACGTGCTTATAATTCCGCGAGTAATGAAGGAGTACGGCTGGTCAAAAGTATCATTGATGGGTCACTCACTAGGTGGCATCATAAGCTTCATTTACACTTCGCTGGCTCCACACACAGTCGATATGGTAATCTCTCTTGACATACTGGTGCCTAATTTAATGGCTCCAAAAAGGGGAGTGGACTATATTGCCAACAGCATGGAGAAACACTTGGTGGAGGAGGATCGTCAGACGGAGGGTCATTTACACGAGCCGCCTTCCTATACCCTTTCGCAGTTGACCAAAGTCCTCGCCAAGGGGAGTTTCAACTCGGTGGCACCCGAGTTTGCCCAACACCTACTCCATCGCCAGGTGTTAAATTCGCAACTGTATCCGGACAGGTTCTTCTTCTCCCGGGATGGTCGAGTTAAATACTACACCTTAGCCCAATTGGAGACAGGACTTGCTGAGACTATGGCAAAGCGGATTGGAAGGAAGCCCTATCTGATTATTAAGGGAGGAAGTTCCCGCTTCCTGGGAGCTTCCAGCCAGAACCCGATGGCCATCATTCGGCAAAATAATCCGCATTTTGAGTTCTATGAGATTGAGGGTGGTACCCACCATGTCCATCTCCACAATGCTGAGGGGTGTGCCCGTTACATAGTGCCCTTCATCAGGCACCACCGACCTCCAGCTCTGACTTCTTGGTCCCTGACTGGAAAGGAACAGGAACTTAGTTTCCAAGAGAAACGCCAGCAACAAGAGAGATTCTTTCAAAGGAGTAAAAACAAACTGAGCAAGCTGTAAAATAATCATTAAATACCCCATTCCACATTAAACTAATTGATATATTGCCAAAAGTATGTAGACAGTAACCGAATAGTTAACTAGCTAATCTTTTATAAGGAAGTCTAAGAATCACAGTCACTAAATAAAATGTTTAGCATCTCAGGTTAAAAAGAACTTAACAAAAGCATAGAAAAATACTAAATAAATTATTTAAAGTGTCTTCAATGGCCTGAGTTAACATTTTTCTCTTCACTCTGTTTAGTTCTCTTCTAATCTTATCAGCTTTCTCTCTTTCAGACCCTCTCTTCTGCTAGCTTTTTAAAGCGAAAAAAATCGATACAGCGAAATAGTTGACGAACAGCTGTTGCCGGCGAAGGAAGTACCGATTTTTAAGTCCCAAAACTTAATCGAAACTTCAACTCTTTGGCAAGATACTTATTCAGATCCATTTTTGGACTTAGTGTAAAAGTTATAGACGGGTAAAGTTCAAAAGGCCGCCGGTCGAGATGGGAACTTTGTCATTGAGCGATGTGAGTAAGCAAAATAAAAAAAGAAGCAAGCTAAGAAAGCAAAGAGAGCAGATAAGCAAAATTTGACATGCGCTACACGAAGTTAATTTTCTTTCTCTTAATGCTTAACACTAAATTGGTTATCAATGATCATACAGACCAATCCGAAAGTTATTAACTGTTTTTTATTTAACATAAACCGAATCCTATCTGTTGGATGTACTTTAATGGCCCTTTGACCATTTGCGATTTTTTTTCTGTAGTTCAAAGAGGTGAGAATCCCAGCCCCTTGGGGTCACATCTCCGGTCGATGGTATGGCAACCTCACAGAGAGACCCATCCTGGCAATCCACGGATGGTTGGACAACCTGGGCACCTTCGAACGACTGATTCCCCTTCTGCCAGATTATATTGGAGTGCTCTGCATCGATCTACCTGGACATGGAAGATCCTCTCGCCTTCAGCCTGGGATGCACTACAGCATACATGACTATGTTTTCATTATTCCCCTCGTAATGAAGGAGTACAGCTGGACAAAGGTTTCCCTGATGGGTCACTCCTTAGGAGGCATTATCAGCTTCTTTTACACTTCTCTGGCCCCAAACACGGTGGACATGGTCATATCTCTGGATATATTGCTGCCCAGGCCAATAGCAGATATCAGTACAGCACTACCAGACTTGGCGCAGAGCATGGAGAAGCATCTGGTTGAAGAGGATCGCCAAAAGGAGGGTCATTTACACGAGCCGCCCTCCTACACCCTCACCCAGTTGACCAAGGTCCTCGCCAAGGGCAGTTCTAATTCCGTGACTCCTCAATTTGCTAAGCACCTGCTCGTTCGTCAGGTTGCCAAGTCAAAACTTTACCCTGAGAAATTCTACTTCTCTAGGGATGGACGAGTCAAGTTTTATCATTCAATGGTCGTGGAACCTGGACTTGCCGATGAGATGGCTAGGAGGATCCAAAAAAAGCCATACATGATTCTAAAGGGTTTGCAGTCTTCACATGTGGGAGCTCATTGTGACACGCCCATTTCCATTCTACGTGAAAATAATCCGCATTTTGAGTATTATGAGGTGGAGGGTGGTACCCATCATCTTCATCTCCATGCCGCCGAGGAGTGTGCCCGTTACATAGTGCCCTTCATCAGGCACCATCGACCTCCAACCCTGACTTCTTGGTCACTTACCGGCAAGGAGCAGCAGCTTAGCTCAACAGAGAAGCGCAGGGTTCAGGAGAGATTCTTTGAAAGAAGTAAAAATAAACGCAGCAAGCTTTAAATGCTGAACTAAGTGCTTAATCAGCTAATTAGATGTCAATGACTTACCTTTTGGTCTCTTCTGGTTACTTTGTTTTATTTTAAACTTTAAAATGCCCTTTTTTTTATCATAATCTAAAGGTAAATTAAAGTTTAACAGCTTCAGAAATTTCTACAACTGATATGTGATTGAAGATTATTGCTCAAGGATGTCTATGCCCCAGCAGGCAGTCCTTTCCTGCTTCCCGCTGATATTAGACTTGCAATTTAAACGATTTTAAGCAGCTTACAGCTTGAGCGCATTAGAACAATTAGCGCAGTTGATGCCATAGATTTCGATCCGTTAGAGCGCAAAAAGTTAAGCAGCAACCAAAGCCAATTGAAGGTATATGTATGTCCGTGAAAGGAAAGTCGAATTTTCCAGACATCGACTATGGTGAATGGGAATAGTTCAGGAACTGAGTTTAACCAAATGCAAATTAAATACCGAAAATTCCAGTCAAACTTTTCTGTCCCCCCACAAAAGTAGACTACGTCGTAGGAAATTTATTTTCCCCAAGGCATCAGAGATTTCCGTTGCCTACCTTTAGGCCGACGCCTAGTAACGAAAAACGGGAAAATTTGATTAAGAATTGGTGTGGGAAATGAGAGTGGCATTTATTAATTTAAACACTTTGTTGTTATCCAAGAAATTGTTGAATTTTAAACATTTGCAAGTCATAATTTTGTTGTCATTTATTTTGATTGGCTGTATTAATATTTATGGCCGGAGCTTCCTTTTTGTCTCATCGCTCGGCTGGCTAATTCAATCAATTAACGTTTGAGTGGAAAGGCAAGAGAATACACGAAAATTACGTTTTCTTACACTATCGATTTTGCCATTTTAGCGAGCCAAACTCGCTTACATACATATGCACCACACATACACGTGGCATATTTTGGCTGTAATCAGAGACGCCACAGGGTTTCCCTCCATTCATTTTTTGGCATTTCGAAGGTGGAAACCGTAAAGCCTTGCCGGCATATGCCTAGATTTGAAAATTAAAGTGGGTTGGGCGCCGATTCCCGGCTCGTGTGCACTTAAATTCCCTTTGAATGGCTTAGAAACTTGAACGCTTTCCGCCTCCAATTTCAGAAACAATTTCTTTTGGTGTGATATTGGGTTAAGCAGCCTTAAAGAGGTGAAGGAAATCGTTCGAGGGACGGATCTGCTAAGGTTTTGAATTTCCCTAGCTAATGGCCAGGAAAGTTGATGAATTTGCGGGGCAACCTTGGGCAGGCACTTAATGTAACTGACAGAAGGCCATAATTTTCACTAGATGAACACTTCCGCGAAATAAAGATTTATGGGAATTCGTTCTAGAAACTTGAGCAAACGTTGAATAAAGTTGGCTTTAATTAGAAAAATCTTTAAAGTCATATTTCAATTGAAATTGAAAACTCACAAAGGAGGTATTTATGGTTATAATATTTCCCAAACCTTAAAGAGACATTCATGTGACGGTAGTTAAACTAGATTAATGCGGAAACCTACAAAGCCATCTCCTAGCTAAATAACTTTCATTCGCCGTAAAGTTCTACCGCAAATAAGAAAAGTGTTCAAGGTGAAGTCCGTAAATTTTCCTGGGAAACTTTAAAGCGATTCAGGAGCACTTTCGATGCGGCATGCATACGTCCAATAAACATCACCTGGCACTTCTTTAGTCGGACCCATAAAATGGCCAAAACTACCGCATTAAATGATTTAAAACGAGCCACACGATTCACTGCCGCCGCCGACTCTCTGCTCTTCTCGGCCTGATTGAAATGAATTGGTGGAAGACCCTTAAACCGAATGAATTATGCAGAGGCAGAGGCCCGGAGCGGGGCTTAATAAACCAAACTTAACGAAAACTGTTTAAAATGCGAGCCGGCCATCTCGAATATTCCCCAGCTCGGTGCAATAAATCTGAGGCCACAAACTGCACTCTATTGCCCTGCCGCATGCAACGTTCGCTTTTCTCTGCGAAAACGTGTGCGCAATTTTCGCAATTTTCTAATAGCCGTTAAAGCTGTCAGGGGAAGGGTTCCACTTCTCGTACTCCTTCAGAAATATCAAAAAAAAAAAAAAATGGGGAAAGAGAAAAGGAAAACAACTTTTCACGTCCGATGATGCTTCGTTGCATGACTTTTTGTTTTTAACTCGAGCGGAAGTGCTTTCGACGCCATTTTGCGGCCGGCCATTGCAATTGAGTGCAGCCCCGACTTCATCAGCTTCCAGTTCCGCTCTCTTCAGCCCTCAAGGATCCCTCGAGGCGTGCAAGGATACGTGCCCGAGCGCACTGGCACGCACTTTAAGTTTCATTAAACAAAACCATCGCGCCTAGGCCTCCGAAGATTGCCTATAAATTCATGGAAGCCAGTGAAATGGAAAGCGAAATCTATGACAGAACGGTCTGGATATTTGGTACAGTGAACTGTCTGCAAAGCAACTGGACAAGTGTTAAAAATAAATATTTTAAAAAGAATAATAAAAAAAATTTACATTTCAATGGTAGAAAAATGCTTGGAAATATTTTTATATATTCCAAGAAATTCTATTGAGTGTCTACTGTATTATTGCTGACACAGCAGTGGAAATCCGTTTGCATTTCAGTGAGTCTTATTGCCAGACCCACATTCCATGGACAACCATTAAATCTGCAACAATTTACTGGTGATTGACATGTTTATAAGGGTCGTAACGCCCAGACCCCCTTCTCTAGCCAATTTTTCGAGGAAGTGACCCTTTTCCGTTGGAGATATTTGTTTTCGTCCCCTTTTATAAACAAGTGAAGCCTAAAATGGTTCTGGACTACTCCCTCTCCCTTCCTCTCTTGTTCATTTGGCCCGCAAAAATAAATCTTTGATATTTGTGCTGTCAGAGGAGCATGCTAAATATCCTTTTGCATTTTCAAGTACTTTTCCTTGGCGGGGCGGAAGACAGTGAAGTGGCCAACAGTTCCCGGTATTGCCTGGAATCCCAGGCCCACACAATTAAAAGTTCCCACGCCAAGCGATACATGAATAAAACAACAAAACGAGTGCGTTTCGAAGGGAAAACAAAGGAATCGAATGAGTGATACTCTTTAAAGCTATCGTAAATAAATTAAAAGAGGAGAGAGAGGTAAAAGTATAAAATAAACAAGAGGAAACGCTATAGTCGAGTGCCGCGACCATAAGATACCCGTTACTGTTTTACAAAATTTTAAAATATTATTTTGCTAGTGGAAATTCACAAGGCGCCACCTATTTTCAGAGGAAGTATGTTGAGTATGCTTATAGTGACGTCACTGCCCGTGTGAGGCCTTATAACCTTAATTTCTTCATAAATAGCGAAATAATGTTCCGATTTGAAAAATCTTTGGTAAATCGATAGATATTAACAAAAATAAGTTATACAAGGTCAAACGAAGGCATTCATAATAATATTATAGACGCCACAGTTTTCCGCGGTTTGTGGGCGTCAGAGTAGGCGTGGCCGGATGCAACTTCGTAAAAAGTTGCAAAGGCATATCCTAAATACGTGATCCTAAACAAAATTATGTAGCTCTTATAGTTTTTGAGATTTTTGCATTTTTGGTTGTTCAGATTTTGTGGGCGTTAGAGTGGGCGTGGCTTGATCGAAAAAAAACAATTCGCATTGGGAGCATAATAAAAACCTACATGCTGAATCCGAACTTTCTATCTTTTATAGTTACCGAGATATCAGCTTTTCTAGAAAATCCGAAAACCGTCTTTTGAGCCTTGTGGGCGTATGGGTGGGTGTGGCCGGATAGTAGTACCACTATAAGATGCGCTGCCAATTAAAGATTATAATTTTTGAATTTCAACTTTCTAACTGCAATAGTTCCTGAGATTTCAGCAATTTTAGTTTTTTGCGATTTGTGGGCGTTAGAGTGGGCGTGTCAGGATGCTGTAATAAGCTTGCGCTTTCCCGGGACCTCAAGAATCTTCATGCTTAATCTCAACTTTGTATCTGCTATAGTTCCTGAGATCTCAGCGTTCATACGGACGGACGGACGGACGGACGGACGGACGGACGGACGGACGGACGGACGGACGGACGGACGGACGGACGGACAGACGGACATGGCTCAATCGACTTCGCTATTGATCCTGATCAAGAATATATATACTTTATAGGGTCGCAAATGCTTCCTTCTATCTGTTACATACTTTTCAACGAATCTAGTATACCCTTTTACTCTACGAGTAACGGGTATAAAAATATTCATTATGTGATTCTATTTAACGCGCTCACATAATAAACCCTCTTGCCAAGTTCATTATACCCATAACGCCCCGTAAAAAGAGGTAAAATTAAAGAAAATAAGAGAGAGCCCCCACAGAATCGCGGATATCTCGATTGGCAGACAAAACGCATGTTTTGTTTTAATTTTGCACTTGGCAGAAAAGAAATCCCCAACCGGTTTGTAGTTGGGCGCCCCACAAAAAGCATAATCTCCGCCAGCAACTGCAAATGAATAAAAAATACTACCGTCCGCGATCGATTGAAATGCAACAAAAAACAGCTGACACGCAAGCAACTGCAACTCGAACACACTTCGAACGGCAACTCGAACATAAAACTGGGTTTGCAGTGATCGTGGTTACGATCGAGATTAAAGGTAACTTTGGAAAACTTTCAGTTGAGCGCGAGAACTCCACGCGGGCGGACGGGGCGGATGAACGATATCGTTGTCGTTTCGGTTTGAGTTAGCAGTAGTTAAAGAAGCGATAAGAACCGCCTTAATTTCGAAACTTCCAACGAAGTAAGACCTAAATCGATAAAGATTCACCCTGCATATAAAGCCAAGTCAAATTAGCCAACATTAAACAACACGCAAAATGAACTGAAAACTCATTTCGAAACAGCTGAAAACATTTGTCAGCTGTTAAAACAAATTTTGTGCGGAGAAATGCTAATGACTTTTGTTGCTGCTGCCGCTGCCGCTGCTGAACTTTTCAATTAATTTAACAGCCCGTCGTCGTTGGCATAGATCTTATCGCCATATCATAAAACAAAATAAAAGCCAAGCTCTGTGGAAAACAAAAAAACAAAAAACAAAAAAACCGAAAAAGTTATCAAGAAAGTTTAACGAAATTGAAAGAAAACAAACGGTTGTTGTTGCCGTCTATTTTGGAAGTGATTTTTTTAGGCCGAAAGGTGTGCCCGATTCCAAAGATTCGAGCCATTACGAGCCCCGCGGGGTTCTCAATTTTCAGCTACCCTTTTTCGTGATTTTTCGCTGAGCTCAGTGGGATATAAAAATATAGACATAACTCCGCTTATATTTGCCAGTGATTTTCGTACTGACATTTGAAACCTGAAGTATGTATGCTCCATCCTGAAGTTGCTGCTACAAGGTTGTGGTTTTTTATGTTACCTGTCGTCTGCCATTAATTGAAATTCAATGCGGAAGGGGCGGAGGTAAATGAAGTGGGGCGAGGGGGAAACCGCTAGGCTATGACAATTATTACAGCTTCCCAAAAGCGGCCAAAGGAACAGGTTGCTCTCAGTGCAGCCATCAAGAGTCAGAGTCAAGCCAAGTAGTGCAAATTGCTTTGCCAACATAGAACATAAAAAACGGGAAAGGAAGTTTTGATTGGAAAGCAGATATCGAAATACCCTAACAGGTGTTAAATTTATAGAAAATATATTACTTAATAACTACTTAGTTAATAGTTTCAGGTAACTCTCAAAAATTAGACCTTCAGAGCTAAGTAAAATACCCTTAAAAGTTAAAAATTTCTCTAGAAAACCTTCCTAAGAAACCTGATTACCCTCTCAAAGAGTATAGAATAATCGGAGCAAGATTGCCAGAGGAATGGCGCGAGTGAGAGGCAGGAAAGAGGCATCGACCACTTACGCATAACTGTAAGATAGACTGCCAGCAAACAGGATTTTTTGCACGTACTTCTTGCTGGCAAGTACAAGAATTACTTCCCTCTTTTCCTGCTCTATGTACTATGCAATACTCCCATATAGTGTTTGAGCTTGCCGCGCCCCTTATCAGCCGACAAATTAAGTTCAAACTGCTGCTGCTGCTGCTTCTGGCCAGCATGGAAAAGAGCTAAAACTTCAATTTGTGTCAAAATACTCATGCGCAAAAATGGAATTTTTCCATTAGGCCCCAGAGATAGAGACCCCGAACAGAAAAAACAAGCAACAAAAAACTCTTAAACTAACATGAAAATAGTGAAAATCATGTGGAGACTGGCTAAGCACTGGGAGAAAATATCCACCTAGGTTTTATTATCATTTATTGACTTTTTTTATAGTTAAGAAACATAAAATTAATAAACTTTTTGAGGTCTTTGAGAAGTTTTGTACTAAGGTGGGGCTGCACCTATGTTTTGTGATGCAAATTGATGTACAAATTCAGTTTTATGACATTCCAAAATGGGTCTTTAACCTTAAAAACATTTCTTTCTGTGCAACGGAGTAAAGTAAAGTAAAGGCAACCGAAGTTTCAGGCTGCAACTTGTCAAACGTGTTCCCCAACAAAGTCTCTCGGCATTTGGAAATGTGCAGCATTGTGCAGCGGCAAGAAAAACAGCAGCAACAGCAGCAGCAGCAGCGGCAGCATCAACGAAAACAACTCGCATAACTGTGACTTGTATTAATTTTCAAGCTTTTCCATGCTGCAAACAAAAAGAAAATCCTAATCCCGCCTTGTCTCAGCAGAAAAATATGTGCGGCGACAAAAGCTTCAATTAGCATTTAAAAAGGCCGCATCATCGCGATCCCATCATTAAAATCCCTATAGATGGAGGAGGACGTGCTGAACGCCCTGCAGACGCGGAGCGCCTACTTATCCGGCGGATTCGATCGCCAGAAGCGCATCATCTTCGTTGTCAACGCATTCAACGATCTGCAGCTGTGGAACCGCCGCTATCTGCAGGTGACTCTGGACTATCTGAAGCGGTCGCTCAGGTGAGAATCGGGAATTAAGTGGTCTTAGGCACTAAGCATTAGAAACAGAAACCGGCCGTGGAAATGCCGACGACTCATTAGCATATGGCCGAAATATGCAAATAACCCGCAGATGATGAAGGTTTGTCGTCTGCTAATGCATTACTTTTCATTAGACACGGCTCTCTGGGAGGGGTCTCAGAAACGGGTCTCGCGAATGGGGGCTATGGGCGCGGAGTAGGCCTCTCAAAATCTGGTTATTTATATGCAAAATGTCTGAGTTCTCAAGTAAATTAAATGTTTAAAAAAATTTCAGGAAAAGCAGATGATTTATGTTGAATGGGTAAAAGTGTTAATAAAGATTCAAATTGAATTATAGTTAGTACTAATTTTGTAATTTCTATAGTAAAAGCAATAAATGTTTCCCAAAAAACACACTAAACTTAATTTATGAAAATGATATATCTCTCATACCTACTTAAAGGTCGAACAACAGCTCATGGGCTTTACAGCACCGCCCTTCTTTTGTTATTTTCCCATTTAAGTCTCCTTTCTTTATTGGCACAACAAGCAAATTGTTTAATTTTACGAGGTAGCCGTCAAACACACATCTGAAGACAGAGAAAAGGCCACATGAATTATGGATATATTGATTGTGATCAATCAACTGGCAATGGGTCACAAGAGTTCCCCCTAAGAAATGAGTGGTGCTGGTTAATTAAAGCCAAAACCTAACTGGCAACTTAATGAAGCATTTAAATGCGCTTTTCTCCAATCCGAATCGATAAACCATCTTGGCATTAATCTCTTCCAGCGCTTCGGTTCTGCAGAATGGAGTGAGTGTGGTGGTCAATGCCCAGGAGAGCAGTTCGCGGATCTCGCGCCAGCAGGTGCGCCAGATATACGCCCTCTTCGGGGGCGACATCAGTGTGGATCTGTATCTAGTCAGGGCGGAGGGCTTCTGGGAGAAGCATGTGGAGCCGTGCACCAAGTCCCAGGTCAAAGGAGAGGTAAGGCACTAACCAACCTACAGAACAGATATCTTATTTTTCTCTCTGTATTCTTTAAATAGCCGCTGGTGCTGTCCAAGGCGAGGCTGTTCAAGTTCATAGAGCCGCAGAACCTGCCCGAGGAACTGGGCGGCACCTTGCAGTTCAACTACGATCTGTGGCTGCAGCAACGCAAGGTAAGTGCCCCAATTTCCATACGCCTCAAACGGGACATAATGGCTATATTTTCGCAGTCCATCGACGAGTTTACCAGGTCGCATGTACAGACTTTGGCTTCGATGGAGAAACTGCTGGCTCTTCTGCGAATGCACAAATCTCTACGGCCGGCGGAAGCGGATGTGGAGCTGAAGAAGTGCGCCCAGCTGCATGCCGGTGTCCAAAACGACATAGAATCCGCCATCGACATGGGTGAGTCGAGTTCGTGGCACAAGTCTTTGGTTTTTGAGTTTGTTTTTTGTTTTTTTTTTTTTGCTCTAAGCAATTAACATAATTGGTTTTGCCCTCGAAGCAAACGGGTTAGGAGTGACAGAAAGAGAAGGGGCGAGAGACTCACATGTGACAAGTAAATCATTGAATTTTGTGTGTGTTTTCAATTAGAAATGCTCCACGTTTGGCAAACTCGTTTTTCGCGTTGTTTGTTGTCGTTTTTATCGTGGGTTGACTTTAACGGCAACTGAATAACATTGAAATTGCCTATGGAGAGTCTTTTTATGGAGTCTTTAAGGTAAAATTGCGGTTTTGATAAGTCAATTCAGATATCTACAGGTTTTTATAGGTTTACTATGTAGTATGGGCATTCTTTTGTTTAAAACTGAACAATTGAGAATGGTTTTAAGATTGATTGGTTAGTAATCCATACTTTTCATTAGAGACTTTAGTTATTTATCTTGTTTAAGTTCCAAAAAATTATTCTGAATGGTTATCAAAACAAGTTTTTGGAGGACCAACAATCAAATACTTTTCTGGCTTCATTAAGTTATTTTCGAGAATCATTTGCGGTTTGAGATCATCGCTCCCTGGGCAAACCATGTCTAGCACTGCTGTTCACACTTCAATTTCTGAACAACGACTTCAAATTCGACCGCTTTTTGGCTTGAGTGCGTGGGTTTGGCAAAACGACAAACGCAGCAACAACGACAAACGTGACCTTTCACTTAAAGCCACAAAAGTCGGTGATGCGCAACGAAATGGTGGCACATGCCACAGTCGAAAGAGCCAGACTCGGATTTAACGCCGCACCGGGAATGAGGTTTCACTTTTGTGGATGTGTGAATAGCGAAAGATCTGATCCCCCCACTATGAAAGACTTTAACTACACTGAACTCAATTTAGTTTAACCTTAAGTTTAGTTTTTTAAAAGACTATTAAAAACCATTAACATCGATCTAGAAATCTTAGTAAAAGAATATTTTTAGTAGTATTAGTTCTTTTAGTAGTTCCTTAAATAGCACCTCTCTTTTGTAAGTCATAAGTTATTTTTCTCAGTGTTAATTTCTCAAACCCTTTCCCTTTTCTCTTCGGCTCTATTGCATGTTGTGCATTGTGCAGGTAACGCGATCTTGGCCCGCTTCAACGAGGTCTACGAGACGCATTCACCGCCGCCACAAGCGGTCGCACCTGCCTCGGAATTCCCTGCAAGACCCCTGCCAATGACGCCCCACTCTACCACTGCTGTCCCTCCGCAGAAGCCCCTCCTGCCACCCGATCTCGTCTGTGAACGTGCCCGCATAGAGTTGCGATTGAATGAGATCGAGAAGAAGCAGACAGCCATTCGGACTGCCTGGCTGGAGTTGCTTCGATCTTTGAGGGAGGCTCGAGAGCTAAGCACTTTGGAGGAGGGGGTGTCCTTCGTCACCAACTGGATCCTGCAGCAGGCAGAGCAGCTACTAAGCCGCCAAAGGAGCGTGGCAGGTGATGTTCGGGGCTGTGAGGCTCTGCGATCCGCTCACGATCAGCTGGAACTGGAGTGCCGGGAAACCTATGGTTGCTATGCGGAGTTGCTCTACAAGATCGAACGATTCGCCGGGGAAAGGCAGGCATCGCCAAAGGACAAGGATCTGTGCCAGGATCTTATATCTCAAAGAGATTTCATGCAGTTTGTGTGCCGTTCCTTTGCGAAGAGGTTGGAGCGACGGAGGAATGTCCTGATGACTGCCTTGAGGTTTCATCGCCTCCTCGATCAATTTGAGGAGCTGCTGACCACCGGTAATCATGTGGTGGAGGTGGACAGTCGGTCGCTGGATTGGCCCGAAGCAGAACAGCTGCTCATGCAGCTCAAGAATAACCAGGAAATGTTGGGTGAGTTTTTCAATTGGAAAAACAAATCACTTTAAATAGGTTAGAAACTTCGTACTTAGCATGTTATTAAAATTAAAAATTTAAAGTCAAAAAGTTGTCATAAGACCTTGCTTAGCCAACTGAAACTATAGCCGTCGAACCCTGACAAATATATGTTAAAATTGCTCTGACAGTTAGCATAGGTATGACAAAAAGTATTGCCAAGTGAAAACTCATAGCAAATACATTACGCAATTGTCACGCTTTCAAATTTCAATGAAAATGAACGGAAAATACATCCAAAATTTCTGTTTTACCTCGAACTGTAAACATCAAAGCGATTAGCTTGCAACATCCATTTCAAACTGTGATCGAACTCGAACTGTAAACATCGAACATATACCCTCAGCATCCAACCCATCGTTAAGCATATGATATTTCTATATCTTTTAGATTTTGACATTCCCAAGAACAATCCAAACTTTACAAAGATCTTTTCGAAAACTCAAACTTTAAACAAGCTACATACACCGATCTCTTAACTTGCTTTATCCAACATCCAACAGATCTTAAAACATTTATCCAACATCCACAGGCCACGTCGAGCGCGAACTTGTGCGTGAAGGTGAAAAGCTGAGCGACATGCTGGCTATGCCGGTGAAAGACGCCCTGGGCCGTGACCTCCAGCTGGACTACAGCCCCGAAATCGCCCAGCTGCGCCGGCAGATCGACGAGAGTCGGCGGCGTCGTCAGGTGTGCGGACATCGGATGGCGCTGCAGCGGCTCACCTTGGAGCAGGTGACCCACATCCATGCCTACGAGGAGGACGCGCGCAGGGCGAGGGACTGGCTGCAGGAACTGTATGCCGTCTTGCTGCGTTGCCACTCCCATGTCGGCTGCAACATCCACGAGATCCAGCTGCAGAAGGACGAGCTGCAGGGGTTCGAGGAAACCGGACGGGTGAGTTTTCCCCTCTTTTTCGGGCGACTTATTTGGTTTTGGGGGAATCAGATGTAGAGGGAATCCCAGAGTGAGAGACAGAGAAAGGGAGAGCCAGTTTGGCTAACGGCAGAGTGACCGATAAAATACTAAGTGCTTTTCGAATTTTCTGGCGGAAAATCAAGGCCTCATTGCGTTAGTACAAGGTTGTCTTTCCAGTTTTTCAGCTGGCCAATAATCATAAAATATTTTATTCGTTTCGAAGTAATGTTTCCTCTTTTATTCCTATCTATATAAATCTTATATCTTTATATTAGAGTATATTTTAAATTGTTTCTTCCTGCTTTAGAGCATCTACCACTATGGCTGCCAGTTGCTGGAGGCTTCCCAGACACTGCGTCTCTGTTGCAAGCTGAACCCATCAGGATCTAGATCACAATCTAATCTCAGCCAGAATTTCATCAGTGAGGAACTGCAGCACACTTGGCACAGCCTGCAATCCGTGGCCCAAGAACAGATGACCAGACTCCGGGTCTCCGCTGTCTTCCATCGCAGTGTAGAGGCCTATTACCGCCAGCTGAGGGAACTCCGTCCACTTCTGACCCACGAGCTATCCGCCCAACTGCAGCAGCAACAAAGACAGCAGCACAACCGCAGTAGCAGTGGAATTAGTAGCGATGCTGAGGGGGAAATGGAGTCGGAGCTGTCTTCTTTGGGAGAAATGCCTCCGCGACTGCAGAGACATCTGGTGGCCAGGGAGCAGCTGCTCGTCGAAGTGGGAAGAATGGTCAGACTGGGAAGACTGCTGAAGAAGCGACTCAAAGAGCCATTCGTCTTGGATGCATTAACAGGAAAGAGGTGAGTTAAATTTTAATCTCTAATGCCCCGACAGTTGCGTGAGTGCCTTGGACTTCAACCTTGTAGTAGCGGCTACTTCATTATGCTCCACGCATAAAACTCTGAAGAAAAAAACAGCAAAGCGTTCTGCATATCAACTAAAACATGGGAAAGATTTTCACTCAAGTCCCACGAGTTCGCGGCAAATTAACTAAGGAAAAACAACAACGAAAAGAGCAAAGAACTAACAAGTTGCTAGAAATAAAACTAAACGAAATGATAAATGGCAATTTAGGTGTTCGAAAACATTCACAACTTTCTAATACGCTATAAAATTGTAAACAAAATGGATACAAATTTATAAAGGAATCTCATATAAGGTGAATGTCTTATGATTTGCCTGACACCTACTAAATGCCATGATTAAATTGATCATAATTTCCGGTTCTTTAAAAATTATAAGCATATACGTATATAACCCATTTAAAAGCTTATCAAACCCCACAACATTTCTCAAGTAACCGCAGACAAGACAACCAAAAATAATTTTTGACAGAATGAAACAAATGTCAAGCGGCAGCGACGCACTCAAAAAGTTCCACTACCCAAAAGTCGAAAAAAGCACAACAAATATTGAAATAAAATAAAAGATCTATCCTATATAGCAGACTATTCCGCCTAAGACTTGGCGTCCAAATCCAAGCAGTCTATTTCAGTGCGTGGTCCAGTGCGGTTCGTCGTTCGTGCCTCCTTCGCCTTGGTTCCTCGGTTCGGAGCGGGAGATTTCAAGACAACTGTCAGTTTGTCAAATTAATGGAATACTCAAGAAGAATATATATATGTATTTATAGTATATAGCAGATAAAGAGTGTGTTTCCTGGAGAACTGGCGTGACAAGTGGGTCAAAGTGGGGAGCATTGTGATAGGAAAGTGTTAAATATAGAAGTGTCTTCATGGTTGCCACTCTCTGTGTCTTCGAGTGCTAATCCCGGCAAAGTGAATAATTGAATCCACAATTATCAGAGAGACGTAGCTCCCTTCGACTGGCCACTAGCCAAAAACGTGTTATACCGCATTACGTCAAACTAATTGTTCCCCGCCCAAAAAAAGAGGCGCCAACCAGACAAGGCACTCAAAAAAGCTCAAAATGTTTGCCAGATTTCGCAATTTGTTTGCCAAATCGAAGGGAGACGAGGAAGTAGAGGTGGTGACCCCCATGCCGGAAGTGCCCAGCATTGTGGTGGACGAACCGCCCAATGAGGTTGAGCTTCCAGTGCAGGAAAGTGAAAGTAAATCCCCAAATGAATCCCAGAATCAGGTTAATGCCTGTGCTCCCCTGGCCGGCGAGGAGGAGGATTTCGCACAAAATCCCCATGAGGTCCTAAGCGATTCCTCCAGCGATCTCAGCCGTCTCTTAGAGGCCATTAACGAGGCCAGTAAGCTACCGGAACTGAGCAGCGATACTCAAGGTGAAGATGAAGATTACGAGGACGATGATGATGATGAGACGGCCAGCACTTCGAGTGTCAAGACCAAAATAGCCAAGGCGTCTATAGAACGAGATATTATAGTGGAAGAAACTGAAGAAGAGGAGGAGGATGAGGTGGATCATGGACCACCACTAAAAAGTCTGGACAAGATTAAGGCCCTCATCCGCAACGATAGTGAAACGTATCCGCACAGTGAATACACCGACAATGAAACGCCATCGCATTCACGCACTGCCTCTATGGATTCCGGAGCCCCCGATAACCCCCGTCTCTCTGGTGATTTCAGTGTCGTGGCCGATGAGTTACCATTGGATTCCACCCCAAGTCCACTCCATGACAGTGGTAGAACCAGTAGTGCTGGAAGCGAGATACCCGGTGAGTCCTTGCCAGCCACCGTACAGGTGGTGCCCACCGGCAGCAACGAACTGGCTTGTGCCGCCATTTCCCATAAGCTAGGAGCGATTGCCGAGGTGGCTGAGTCCCTGGATGCGGTCATCCGGGATGTCCAGCAACAAGAGGGAGCAACCAGTACTGAAGTCAACAGTTCCACCGGTAGTCATGGCATCAAGAAACTGGGAAGCATTGAGGTAAGCAATTGACTTTGATTTTAAAAACTTTTCCTTATTATATGGTCTTAGGACTGGCATTCCCGCTCCACCGAGGACGAATCCTTCGCCACCGCCTCTGAGGGCAACTTCACGCCCAACTCGCACTCCTCATCATTTCAAACAGCCTCAGGACGCACTAGCTCCTACATTGGATCGGCTAAGAACTCCTTCGACGAGGCGGATGACTCTACTTTGAGCACCTTTGAAATACCCGAACTGCCACCTTCTCCTGTCAACATGTCCTTCGACAGCTCCGAACTGAGTTACTTCTCCGCCCGTCAGCAGAGGATGAAGAGCGAGGATCAGGATAGTGTGGCGGGCGTGGTAGAGTTGCACAGTCAGAGTGTAACGCCCACGCCAGATGAGGAGCAGCAGCATTTACTCTTGCCACTGCCATTACCCCAGGCGATCGAATCGGATAGCGAGGTGGAAGGATTTAGTTTGGCCACGGGGATTACCACTGAGACAGCACCCAGGATGTCCAATGCTCATACGCCGGAGGTGAGCTATCGTTCCGCTGATAATACCGCTCCGGCTTCAACTAACCCCAACGAATCGAAACCGCCGACGTCCTGGCGACGCAGTAAATACTACGAGAACATAACAAAACAGACGATCAAGGGGTTTCTCTAGGAGATCGGGACCACCTGTCCCACCTGAAACAAAACGATTTCCCGCCCAATTAACCTGCGCCATTTGCTTCTCTGCCGATGCTCGACATTCTTGCCATTAATTAGTTGGCATATTATTTTTGATGTTTTCCCAAAACTTATTTTAGCCCATGAGCTAAAAGTTTTCCCACAGCTTTGGTTGCTCTTTTAATCTGCATGATTGTTCTATGTTTTATACAAAATTTTTTTACCCTTTATCTTTAAAAATGTTACTAAATTGCGAATAACTATTATCCAGTTTATTGTTTATTTTACTTGTTTTTCGGCTTTTACCTTTACTATTTAACTTAAATATTTATTTTATTAGTTGAAATTTAGCTTAAGGCCTGCAAAATTAGAGAATTCCAAAATGCTTAAAAACATATTTCAAATATTTAGTATAAGAAATTGAGTTCAGCCGCAGACAGTCGGAAATTTTTGCCATTAATTATAGTTTTAATATTTATTGATAACTATTTCTCCCACACAGTCACAAACTATAGTGCAATTCATATTGGAAAATGTTTTACCCCAAAAATAAAGCTAATCGTTTAAATTCCTGTTAATACCTCTTTAACTTTTCAGGTCTATATTAATTATTAACTAACCTTAAGCGTAGTGAAAAAGTAAGTAAAGGCGAGCGTAAATTGAATTTTACAAAATCCCAAAAATATATTGCATAACTTTAGGCTGAAGCTGGAAAAGTCATTGCCATCATCTGCTCTTAACCCCTGAGTGCTCTTTTGGACTTATTCCACCCTAAATAATTTTTTTCAATTTTACCTCGGTGGGTGGCCCTTTCCCTAAGCATTTAACAAGTGGTCCTCAAGTGATTTCAATTATCTGAAATGTGAACTGTCAATGGGTGAAGCGGGAAAATGGGGTTAAGAGGGGTTGGCTGCTTTTGTGAGCTTCCTCAAGTGGCTCATTAATCTCAATTAAAAACATATAAATAAAACGTTCCCAGAGTGGCGAGTGAGTGAAAAGAATTTATACTTAACGAGCTGATCATCCAGAAGGCGGACTATATATCTATCAGATTCTTTTCATGCCATTCGACCAGATTTCGTGACGTGCTGGCGCTGAAAGCATAATTTGATAAGTCCGTATCGTTGATAGCGAAAAATAATAACCCACAACTGGAGGGCATTGATTGCAGCACCTGCATTGGTTGCATGCAACAAGCATTGGATATTGCACGAAGTTGAAGTCCAGAGCCAAAGTCAGACTTCAAGACACGCATTTTTTTGGGGGAAAATACTTCATAAATTTAATGATGGAGTATCGCAAGAGGTGAGGGGATCTAAATGCGGGCGGTCAGTTTGCGTTCTACTAAGACACGATACCGTCTGGTTACTGTTGTTATTTTGCTCTTCCTCTCTTCACTCTGTTATTAAAGTCCAAAAGCTGCAATTGAATATATTGTGGCTTGGGGTACCCCTTTTTATATGGGACTATTAGACCAGAACTAAGTAACTAGCTATGAAATATTACCTTTATCTTGAGACCATTCATCATACTGGTTTGGTAAAAACTTTTTCCACTTACTACCAAAAGAGGAAACCCTTTGTCGAAAATACTCTCAGTTTTTTTTATATCTAAAAAGCATGAATGAATGACACTTAAAGAATTACAGGGTATAAACTACTCGTTGCTTTATCTTATTATTAAAACACCCCTCATATCGTCCCATACCTTTCGTTCGTATTGTAATTGCTGAAAAGCCGGGCGCAGGGCATTAAAAATTGAAATCATGAATTAACGACGCCGCGAATGCCAAGAGCACTTGTTTATTTATGTCCTCTCCCCCGCCGAAAACCCCCTTCTTCATCTCTTTCTATCCGCACTGCCCCTCTCTGTTACACACTCTCTTCACCTTAAAACCAAGCCGGCTTTTTAAAAACTGAGCTTAACAAGAGTCAAGAGATCGAAAAAAGAGAACATTAAAAAGATTGAGCGAATCGGTTAAATTTCAAATGATGAACGCTCTTCTCTGCTGATCTGCTGCTGCCCGTAGAATCTGCTCAGTCTTCGGTCTCCGGTCTGCAGTCTTCGGATCTTTGGTCAGTCTTGTTCGAAGTTCGCGGCGTTCGGTTGTTCGGCTGCTTGGAAAGCGGCGCGCGCGTTTCAGTTTTCCACATCTCCACCGCTCGAATAATGTGCGAATAAAAACATATCTATGTAAATTAAGCCATGGAGAAAATAAAGAGGAAGAAAACAATAAATTTGGCACTTCAAACAGGCAAATAAAAAGCGAAAGGAAAACTAATCAGCCATAATTTAGCCAGAACATTTTTGGCATTCAAAAACGCTTGGCGCTAGTTTTTTTTTGTGCTCGCCCGTCTGAAGATGAAATCAACAAAGTGTGCTAAATTTATTGTTGTTGTCAAATATTTAGCTCTGTGACGACCCTCACAAAACAAAATTCAAACAGAACGCTTAACAAATAGAAATCGACATAGAACTCGGCCAAAGAAATATTTTTTCAAAAATATTCGGTGACTTGGTGCATAGAAAAGCGTATTTGTTTGAGTCATGTGCACTTTTCGTTGTTTTTTTCAATATTCTATAACAGTCCACGCCCCAGAATATTTCAATCAACAATTTTCGGTTTTCCTTATTTTGGACAACAACATATGGATGCCGAGCATTTCCTCAATTGGGCTACAGTAAACTTTTATAAAAGGGAACTTGTTCTTCCCAATTTTTTGTGCGCTGTTTATTTTTAGCCAGCGCAAAGTACAATTAAAATAGTTTACATTACGCCAGCAGCCGCGGCGACTATTAAAAATTGAGAGAAACGCCAAAAATTACCTAATAGAGGCAGCTGGCTGCACACGAACATACGCGGCGTATGCGTAATGTATTCAAAAATATCAAAATATTGAAAAATCCATGAAATATGACTGACTGACGACGACGACTCCTGCCAATGCAATTGGCACACGTTAAAAATCTGACGCACATCCGTGCGCTTTATCTCTGACTATATAGTATCTGTATCTGTAGTATCTGGGCTAGAACAACAGTTTAGCTTCGTGGCAGAAATCGCCGCGAAAATTACTCAATAGTTTGTTGCTTTAAAAATAAACGCGAATCGAGCATTGTCTTGAGTCTTTTGGGGCGGAGACGGGCGTACAACAACGAGACTAGCACACACGCATCAAAGGCAATTTTCTCAGGCTCAATATGCAAAAAGTACACACGATTCTCTCGCCATATAGCACTATATATATAGACACTATACAATAATAAACAGACTGTAGAGCGACAGGGAGAGCGCGAGTATGAAGTCATAGTCGCGGCGGGCAAAAAGCGTTCTCCGTTTTGAAAATCTACCGATTCGCAGAGGTTCTCAGACGATCGCCGGCGTTGATAGCGCTCGCAACGAAATCGAAGGAATCGCCGAATCGAATCCCCTTTGCTCTAACTAACTAACCCAATAAATTAAATCCGACCGCGAGTGACTCAATTTAATAGTTCCACTTTCGAGCAGAGTTCAAAATGCAAAACACGCGAAACGGGCAGGGGAAATAAGCCAAAATACGAGAAAAACTAAACGACAGAGATTATAAACGCCCACGCAAAACACACAAAACTACAACCACTCAGCAGCGCAATCCTCGAAAGTTAGTCAAAAAAAAAAAGAAGAAAAGAAAGAGAAAAGAAAAGAGTAGAGAAGAAAAGAAAAGAAAAGCAACCATGGAACGCCGCCAAGCCCTAGACTCATCGATGTCTTCGCTCTACTCGGTCGCCTCCTCCTCGAATCCCCGCCAGCCGCAGACCATCCAACTTCAGACGCAGCAGTCCCAGCAATCTCAGCAGTCCCAGCTAGACGCCTTCAATTATTCAGCAACAATGTCATCATCGTCGCCGACTCCAAGTCAGGCCATGTCCACGGCCATGTCCACGGCCATGTCCACGGGCACCACCCACACCACACCGCCATCCACATCCACCTCCCTCAGAGCCACCACCATCGGCACCGTTGTCGTCCGCTGCGGACCCATCCAGCTGGTGATAGCGCTCCTGCAAGTGAGTTGTACCCTCCTCGTACTCAGCAAAATAAAACGAAAAACTAAAAACAAAACTAAACCAAACAAAACACACACAAAAAATGGGAGACAAACATGAAGAAACATTTATCTAGATACGGGAGAAGTGTTCGGAGAAAGCTCTTGAAGTGCGCGAAAATTTATGCGGAAAGCGATCTGGTAGGACTTCGGAAGAGATTTGGGACATGGCACTCTGATATCTTGAATAAATCATAAATAGCAGGGAGGCAGGGAAAGACTTCGTTAGTTGGAAGTGTGATAAGGGAATTTTCAAGATGTTGAATGCTTAGGTCATAGAAATGTATCTCTTTGTATGATGTTTAGCTTAATAACATATAACAGACTTAAGCTTTGATCATTGAAAATAAATCTATTACTGCAGTTGAATCGAATTCCAGTTTAAAAGCTATGAGGTATATGAAGTTGTATAATGACTTTTATTTATACCTTTTATATATTTAAATGAGATAATCAACTGAATGACGGCATAATCTTCTTCAATAGAAATAAGTTAAATAGCTTTCATTGGAACTAGTTCAAGTAATTAAACAAAAACCAATAACCTTGTTTGTAAAACAAATTTAAAGTTCATGAGATCTTTTATCTCAGTTTGTTATCATCAGCATCTATCAATCAATGGACTTTTTGGCAACAAGCGGCTATTACATAATTGTCCAGCCTCTCAATCTGAAGCCATTACATTTCCAACCTTAATTGATGAATTCCTATAATTATCCAATAGCCATTATAGCCTCTACCAAATTATGGGGCCTCGCACCACCCCCTCCAGATCAAAGGCACAAACTATGTGACTTTAACACTGAAAAATTCATGGGCTTCTAATGCCCAAAACTGGTTTACTATTTTCGATTGTTTAAACCGGCTTCCAACAATTTCCGCGCCAATTAGCACTCGAACAACGAAAGCAAAAGTTGTTGATAGCGGTTATAAATATTTGAAAAGCGGCAGCGGCAGCGGCAGAAAAACAAACGCCACAAAAAGGTTCAAGGTTGTCTGACATCAGAACAAGATACAAGACAAAGCCAACTAAACGTGACAAAAAGAAATGTATCTGCCAGATACTTTTCACAATTAGGCGCAGCTGCTACCTGTCTGGGTAGCCATTTCAAGCTGGATGAATCAGTTTCTTAAGAGAGAAACTTTATTTGGGTCTTCTCTGCAGAATGGCCACCCTTTTCTCCCCACTCCGACCTTTCAATCCGGAGCGAACTTGAAGCTGCGACTTGAACTTGAGATTGAGAAACATTTCTGATGAAGCGCTACAAGTTTCATGCCCCGAAACAAAAAAGCCAAGCAAACGTTCAATAATTATAGGCAGCATCGGTTTATGGTCGATGGTTTATGGGGCAAGGGGAATGTACGTATGCCCCTTTTTTCTCGTTCATTCAAGCATCGGGCCATTGAAATTTCGGTGTGCCACTTTGTGCCAATTTTTTGTTTTGTTTTCTCGCCGACAGAATAATAATTTTTGCTTCATTTGCCATTCGAGACTCACGGCTCCATGTGTTAAACATTTGATTTGATTTACCACTTTGTTCTCCCCCACTTTTGATTCCAGAAATTATGCAAAAACATTTCACTGGCGAGCCTTTCAACACGTTTCTATTTCATACGTACGAGTACTCGCGTTTCCATGAAAATTGAAAACTCAGCGACCCCAAAAATACACAGATTTCTTTAAATTTCCGCTGGCCTGCTTGGAAACAAATTTGATTTCTGGTAACGAAAACTAAATGTTGCTTACCTGTCGTTGTTTTCATTATTCTCGAACTGGTCCCAAAAAATGCTGTTGAAAATAAACAAGAGAGCCAATATTTCTCACAGGTTCTCTCAGGTAAACAAATTAGCGACCGAACAGGGCCAAAAAAAGCTGAAATAAGAAACAACAAAAGAGTACAAATAAATACACACGATATTCCACAATAAAAGCCAACAGATGTATATAACAAAAACACGAAAAGAATGAAACAAATGTATGAGCTAAAAAATGTTCGATGAGCTCAGCTCGGTGTTATTGTTATAAATTCCACGTGGGCGGTGGGCCATTTGTGTTCAGGAGGAGACAGGCAGCGGAAGTTCTTTAAACTTTATGCTTCAGCATGAGATTAAAGAAACAATAAGTTGAAAGAACCCTCTTCGTCCCCCGGCTGTAAGCTTAAAACTATGCAAATATGTCAAAAGTTTTCTTCTGAGTTTATTCCTTTCTGAGTTTATTTTCAGAAACAGGCAACAGACAATTCTTTCAGATAGTTTTTCTTAGCACTAAGAACATTTGGAGTTATTAAACTTTCATATTTCATTAAAAATCTTGAAAAGATTCAACTTATTTTATAATTTTAGTTCTATCCCATGGTCTTGTTTTGATCAGATATTAATTCTTAACAAATTTCTGATTAATTTTGCAAATAGTGTAAGAAAATATTTTCCTTTCAGTGCAGCCAAACTCCAACTGGCAAGAAAGTTGAGTTATTAAGATTTTGAATGTTAAGTGCCGGCAGAGAATATGAATATCTGCAAAGTTTTTCGTGGCACAATGCGATTTTGTGGTGACTACTTGAACGACATTTATTTGCCTGTGAAAAATAGTTGAAAGCCATTCCGTTGAAAGAAATGTAGAAGACATGTGGTAAATTCCACACACGCAGGCTAAGAAATGCCCAAAATACACAGTCTGTCAGTGAATCGTTTAATTGCAACTTTATCTCCATGGGCAACCTAAATCATCTTGTATTCAAATCGCCCTGACATGATTTACATATCCCTCCGAGGAAAAACTATCAACTCTTTGGCATGGGGCCCCACCCGAAATTAATTAGCCAAGACCATTCAACTTCTTGGCCATCCGGACATCAATCTCAATGGATGATTCGTCTATGGCTCTGACGCAAATTTCGATTACAATGTTTGTTGATGCAACACGAAAATATTTACAAGTGTTTCAAATGGGGGGAAAATGTTTTGGGCCTGGTTACAAAACGTTTCGTTTTATGTTCTTCTGCTGGCTCGGAAAATGAAAAATTAACTTCAAGGCAATTAAAATGGGCCCAGATAAACTGGAAAGAGAAACTTCAAAGGCAGGGGATTTAGATATTTGTTTAGCTAGAGACTCTCTCTAAATAAATAGATTTTCCGTGTAAATGTGAAGCGTGCCACGAATGCTGAAGATCTCTTTTAATTGAATCTAATGCGCGAAACTAATTTGGGCTTTTGGCTTGGCCATAATGAAGCAATTGGGGCGAGACTGGCGACCTGCTTCGGATTTTGGATGTTAGATGTTGGATCTTAGATCTTGGATCTTGGTTGTTGGGTTTTTGTGCAATCTCGCATCGAATCAGGCTGGTGGCGCGATCTGCTCTGATTTGCACACAAGGCGCCGGCAGAGGAAAAGGCTGAAAACTCTAATTGAATTTATGGCATTTTCATTTGTAAAAGTCGCAGCTTTTCACTCATAAATTGGCCAGACATATGAGCATGTACTTATGCCCGGCACTGTACGAGTTATGTGCCATTGCCTTGGGCCTGCGGCGTGGGTGAAACGCTGCAGCTGCGCAATGCGCACTGTCTGATGGCCAAGAGAGATGGCATTATGTGCGGTGAAAGAGACGGGCGATAGAAAGCCGCACCAAGGCTCAAAAGAAAGAAATGTTTACGACGCTTGGCAGGCACATAAATTTACGCATGAAAAGCTTGCGCATTCCTCCCGCTCTCCAAAGACTCGCATTTTGCCAGCGAACGGGGCCAGAAACAGTGACTTGGACTCGCGGACAGGGCTGACATCAAGTCACGTGAAAGTGATTTGTCACTGTGATTTATGATCCCCCTTCCGAGGTTGTCATTTTCTAGGTTGCGATTTTGAGATCAAACAATGTTGGGAATGAGTCACCTATCATTAGTGAAATGTCGTGACATAAAAGCGAAAATACCAAAATATTTTTTGAAAGGCTTTTTTTTGCCCAATCCTGCTGAAATGCTCAAATTCCCTAACAACTCTATCTAAGCTGGAGTTTTATGTTAACTCTATTCATTATTCTTATAGCGCACTTACTTTTATAAGATGTTTTGATCCAAGTAAGCACATCCATAAAAAGAAGACTTAAGTCCACGCCCAATGCTGGCATAGGCAAATAAATAAAGACAGTGATTTCGACGCCACTTCTTCATCCGCTCGATGGCGTGTCACGGGGAATAGGCCGTAAATCTTATCAGTAATTGAAAAATTCCAGCCCTAACTGACAGTATCCAACACCAAGAGCTGGCGGTGAGTGTCGTCAACATTTTCGAGCGCTAAAAATAATGTATTCTATGCGCAGACGCAGACGCAGTCGCAAGTCGCAGTCGCTGTCTCTTTGCCATTTGAGTTAGGCCTGGGATTCAGATGGGCCTGCAGATCGGATTGGGGCATGGGGATCCACTCGAAAGCCGGCTGGGGATGTGCTGTCTATCGGTGGAATTAATGCAGCTGCTACTTAGCGCAACTGACAAAACAGTTTGGCACGCACTGATTGATAAGCAAGGAAAGCGGCCTAGGAAAAAATGTTGGCCAAAGGGGGTGTTTGAGGAGGGGTAACAAAGAAGAGGAGCAGGAGACCAGTCGGGCATGAATTGGCCAAGCCAAAGTAAACAGTGGCCCCTCGGCAATAAATTGAATATATATACAAACATTTTAGTAATGTAGGCAGAAATATGATTTAAAAACTTTGAATAACTTCTTTTTACTAGTCATGTTAGGACCCACAGAGATTAAATTATACAATGTTGCTCATCAATTATCCAATTATCACGTTTAATAGCTAAGTTAAATGGGAAACTCTTACAACCAAGTCTGCGGGATAGTTCCAATACAAATACCCTATAATTTCCGCTTTCCGGGGGTCCACTGTGGAGGATCCAGCTGCTGTAATTACCGGAGTGGAAGCGACGGCTCGGCGGTTTTCGAGTTAGAGACGCGAAATATATTGCATGTTTACATGGCAACTGATAGTCGCCGATAAACGTTCAATGAAAGTCTTGCATTGCAGGCGACTCCTGCTGATGTTGCTGCTGCAACTATTGTTGCAGATGGGAGATGCCGCGAGTCGTGGCCAACAATTTGTAGAAACAATTATAGAAATTATCTTTTTGTTGGCCGCGAATTAAATTGAAATTTAAATTGCATTCGATGGCAGCAACAAGATTGCCCAATACGTGTACTCATAATTCGCCGTTGGCCTGGGAAAGTGCGACCCACAAAAACCTGAACAGAAATTGTTTTATGTTCGATGGTATTTATAGAACCCAAAAGTCTGACATCACTCGAGCACACACCGCTCATACTGCTGATGATGATGATGATGATCGAGGCAGAAAAGCTGAACCTCTGCTAAATGAACAATAACAAAATAGCTGAATGCTTTTTGCTGTTTTGTTTTACGACAAAATCAAGTTAAGTTTAATGGAGGCACAGAGACAAACGCGTTAGAGCGTGCTGTCCACGAACTACGAAAAAAGCAGCAACAACGGGCAGAAGGTAAACTCAGTAAATTCATTTGCATATGGGTATTTGTACAATACATTAATGCTGTTTGCTCTCTATCAAATCGCTCACACACACGAATATCGATGCGGTTTTTTTATTAGTCCGTTTATACAAACTTTTTATGGCCCCTGTGGCCTATGTTTGATCAGGAGCAAAACATACAAACGAACATTTGATTTATGTCGCTTTAATTAGCCAATTTCAATTTGTATTCAATTAGCTCACCTTTATTGGGGCACTCGCACAGCCACAGAATGAAATTGCCGCTAAAGTACAGACATGTGATGCGAAAATGTACCTAAATTGCATATTAATGGGCGGATGAGTAATATTCGATTTTAGGTCAAGGCTGGCTAGTGAACTTATTTGCCAAAATAATCACATATTCTGTTCTAAAAGTATATCTAAACTTAGGTTCTGCATAACATATGTGAAACTATTAAGCTCCTTCAATTAACTTGTCATTCTAGAATGAAGTCATAAAGTTCTCAAGCAATTGGCTAGGAATCTCCAACATTTTTATAAGTAACCTTCCTTGAAAAGTATGCTATAACAAGAGCCATGATATGGCAATCTGTTAACATAAATCAGGTAAAACAAGCCAACGCCTTCGCAAATTGCGATTCCCAATTAAATCGGCGATCGCTATTCGGGATTACGTTGCCAATGGCCGTAATGAAAGAGCGGACCTGGCCGGCGCTCTATAAAAATGCCCAATGATTTCACACAAAACGATAACAGCAACAACAGCAGCGAGGTAATTTCATATCGAAATCGTGTTCTATCCGCTGCCGCAAAGTATTAATTTAAAAGCCAAAAACGTGTTTCACGCTAAGCGCCTCAAAGTGGACGATTGTGGCCCCTCGTCATCCTTCTACCCAAGATCATTCAATCCGGCTTAGGTAGAGCATTCTGTACCCTGGTTAAAAGGTATTTAAATATTTGATCAACTACAACTTGAAAGTTATTATTTTTGATCATTTTTATGAAGAATTTATTAACAGGCAAATATATTGTAATGTGCAGAACTCTTCTAGATTCTTGTTTCTAAAACAAACGAATTTCAAGCTCCAAATACTAAAGGACCTTTAGATAAGCTAGGGTATTCCAATCTTCGTCTCTTCCCTAACATTCCATTCCTGGGTGTTATTGTTTTTGAACCGCCGTTGGGGCTTTTGGCATTATATCATCGCCGTCTTTGCCGGGTCTTTGGATGGGGGGTTGCCAGGCGAACACAAATCCTCCCACTCCCAGCTGGCCACGATCTTGGAGCACTTCCGCCATTCGGACCTGCACAAGTGGCGAGCGAAGACGCTTCTTAATGTCCAATTGCATATTACGAGTCTTAACGGCTCGGTGCGTGTTTGTGGGCCACTTGAAATACGATTCAATTTCGCAATGAGTGACGTATGTGGAGGGGCGGCAGTGAGGCGCCCGTCCATATGCATAATGGTTTATTTTATGCTATATACGTACATATGCTTAGTTATGGTCGGCCTGTTTATAGTGATGTCATACCATTTATGGTTCATATTTCAGTTAGACGACGTGATTATTCTCCCCCTCCTCACCACCCTGCCAGCCGCCCGTTACACTTCAAAATTTATTCAGATTTTCGAGAATTATTGGTGTGCATATTGGAAACTCACTCACGTCGCATTGAGTCAGTGACTTCGACTGGTTTTTTTTTATCGCTTTACATCGCTGCCAGTGGGGCACACAATTTAATTTAATAGCGGGGTTATTAATTTGTATTGTAATTGATTAATGGCAGTCGCAGATCAAACTCGAAGCCCTTGGAGCGAATAAATTGGAAACTACAGTGGAAGTTATGAGACAAGAACAACTTTGTGATCTACGATTATTAAAGTTTTTACACTTTTTATCAGTTTTCTTAAGAAAGCTTGTGGAAAATCAACTTAATTCGCCTTCAAACCAGTTTCTTTGGGATATTACCTTCTAAGAAGGTTACTCTTTTGAGGCTCTACTGTACCATGCCCAAAACATTTTCGTTTCGTGAACAAATTAACGCCCACGCAGCTTTCCCTAGACATAAAACCCAACCAGAGTCAAGCGTAAAGAAGCAGCTCGTGAACCATCAGCAGAGTTCTCCATGGTTCGGCATGGCATGTGGCACTTTTCCCCAGCTCCAACTCCAGCCGCTCCATCGACACATGCTCATCCCAACAGGAAAAACTAACGGATGCCATTACCATAAACAGCCTATGCTGACCTTCATTGCAATCAAACAGAGCTGAGGTTGTGGTGCCACTTCTACTGCTACTTCAGAGGCTGCTTCTGGCGGTGCTACCAAAATTAGAAGCTGCTGCTTCGGAACAGCATATTGTGGTTCGGGAGCAGGTTTGGTTCGCTTTTCCCTCGCTGCACAAGATCATCGCACGTCTCCTGGCCTCCGATGTCAACTGCGAACCGCATGAATGGGAATGCAACCAGCCAGCTGCTGGGAGCCCAGGAACGTGACTGGAACGGATTTGGGGACAGGCCGAAAGAATGCCGCGGACCCTTGTGGGAGAAACTCTTTGAAATGCTCATGTCCTATGGTGTATCCCTGGGAAATGTGAAAATAAAAGAATGGAATGTGGGTGCTCTAGAATATGGATTTTCTTATCGGTTTATAACTATCAGGGAAAACTATTAAATATCCCCTGCAAATCCCATGAATAACACCACTTAGTCATCTTTAGAAACCCAATCCACCATCTTATAATAAATATCTTAAACCTTCCAGAGTCCAGAGAAGATTTACATCAAAGTGGTAGAACTCGAGCCAAAGATCACAGCACTTGGCGAGAATCTGGATGAATCAGTGCGCATGCAAAGGGAGCATGATGAAACCCTCCGCAATCTACAGGTGAGTCCATGCAAATCCTCATCTATCAACCACTCTGATACCCTTTAATATTCTTTGTAGAACCTGCCCGGCCCTATGGATGAGTTCGTCCAAAAAGCTGACAAACTGCTGGCCAGCAAGCGAATCAGTTCCGAACTCGTCAACGCCATGGCCGACACCCTCAACATCATCTGGCAGGACATCCTGAATCTTCTGCAGGATCGTCAGCATCTACTGATACTATGCACACAGTTCCATGACAAGATGACGCAGTGCTTCAGGAAGATGGATCAACTGGAATTGGCCTGCGAAGAGACCCTCAATCCGCCGGATGTGCCCCGTGTTCAAGAGTTCCTCAACAGATTTAAGCAACTAAGGATAGACATGCTCACTGGTGTGATGGCCGCTCTGAAGGATGGAAATGAACTCCTGGCTCAGCTGGAGGAGTTGGAGAAGCTGGAGACCCTCGATACAAGACCGGAACACATCAAGAGAGATGCCACGAGGGCTGTTCACCAAGTTCAGCAGTGGTTGGAGGCCCTACACGATCGGAGAAACTCCCTGGAACTCGCCTGGCAGACGAGGAAAACTCAAATGGAGCAGTGCCTGGCACTGGCTTTGTTAGGCAGGGAACTAGTCGATCTGGAGGCAGCTCTCCAACAGGCCAGGATGGAACTGAATACAATGTACAGTCTGGGAGAGTGTGAGCACACAGCCAATGAAATGCTCACCAAGTACAGAGAATGGAAACAACAGGCTCTGCTCCTCCGGGATCGAGCTCTCAAGATCACGAGAGCGAAGGAGAAGGTACAATCCGCAGGCCACTTCACCGAGGATGATGCATGTGCTCGTGCCTATGCGGTTTTGAGTGGCTGCACGGAGCACTTGGATCTGGTGGATCAGCGGGAACACTGGCTACATCAGTCAAGGGAGTTCTTTGCCAAGGCTGAGCACACCTTGAGTGTCCTGGAGAAACTCGAACTTGAGCTGACTAGCGTGAAACTGCCTCCCCATTCCCCAGAGAGCTATGCCATGTTCTCCAAAGTAGATCGCGATGTGCGAAACTTCACCGAGGAACCCTTACGTTTGGGTTACGGCATCCTCGACGAGGTGGGACGGACTAAGCCGGAGACTCTGGGTGTGAAGAGGGTTCTGGATGAGTTGGAGAACAGAAAGGTCTATATCCAAGGGATTTGTGCCAACAGCAGCGAGGATCAGCAGAAGGTGCAGCGGGCGTTGAGTGAATTCTTGACTCATCACAATGAGCTTTTGGCCTGGCTAAGAGCTTCCGGTCAACAGCAGTTGCAGCAAAGCGTGGATATGGGCCGAAATCTTCAGGAGGCCAAGCAGTTCCTTCTCCAGCATCACGAACTGATGCAGGATCTAGAGGTGCGTAGTGAACAGTTTTCGAATAATGATTTGAATCAAACTACCTATGAAAAGAAAATCACTATAGAATCATGGGCAGAGGAAAGTTCTATGAACGAAATGCTTTATAGAGATTACCTTTACATAGTTTGTTTGATTCAGGTGAGTCAGTGACCGATCAGAAAGATACATAGCATAAACTCGTTTATACAAATATCAAATTCTTATGACAAAAACCTCCTTGTTTACTCCCTAGATAAAAGGCGAACTGATCAACCTGCTACTGGAATCCATCAAAGTCCACCTGGAATCCTTGAGCCCTCAAGAGCGTTACGATGTAGACTCCAAGGCTGAATCCCTGCACAAACACTGGATCGAACTGAAGGACCTGGTTCTCAAGCGCGTGGACTATGTATCCATGCTGATAGACTTCTTCGAGTTGGCCAATGAGCTCTCCAGTCAACTGGACAACCTTCAGCGTCAACTGCAGCAAACTCCCGATGAGCACAAGCTGCAGTTCCTCCAGGCAACTTGGACAGGCATCGCAGGCACCTTCGGCGAACTGAAGTCCCGCGGACAGCGATTCATCAACTTAAAAGTCTGTATCGGGGGAGAGGAACTGCCACACTTCCTGCTAGTTCCATACATAAGTTATTTAATCTAAGTTTTGAGGAATTCTCTAATGTCAGGGCGGCGTTGTTTGGTTATGCATGCTGCACTCTGTTTATGCTTCATCTATGCTCGCAAAACTTTGCTTCCGAACAACTAACTGCTGACAGCTGGCGCATTTGCACGCTGTCCATCAGCTCCCAGAAGCAGCTTGCTGACGCGGCACAAACAACCGCGTAAAAGTTTGGCGAGATAGGGCATTCCGGCAAAGGAAGGGAGTTTAAGAAATAGCATACACTTTAGAAAAGTTTTTATTTTTTAAAGGCAATTAAACAAAGTGCTACATAAACCAAAATATCTTTTAGATATTTAAAACCTTGTTCCATTTCTCCTTTCGATATCCTCAATGATGTATTAGCTTTCTCCAGTTTTTTTTATAAAATATCTCTAATTTGCAGTGTATTTCTGTTTGCAACTCTCCTTTTGAATTTTGCCATCCCGCCCAGGGCCTATAAATTATAAACAATATGATTTGGTTAGCCATAAACATGTATTTAAAACGACAATGTCATTTCGCCCCATACGCGAACATAAAACCGGGAAGATGCGGCCAAACAGGCGCAGAAGAAGAAATTTTTGAAATTAGAAATTTCGCTCTTTGCGGAGATTCTGCTGCGAGTTTGGTGCGTCGAGAGTTGCTGGCTAGAGTCGACTCGACTCCGAGTCGAGTCCATAAATAAAGAAAGCAATTTGCGCTGCCGGGCTATAGATAGGTTGTATGGGGCTGGTCGGGTCGGTCGGATCTGGCCTGGACTCGCACAGAAGTGGCAGAAGGCAGCAGACCCTGGCCACAGTCAGTCACAGAAGCGTGCCACGCGCCGCCTTTTTCTCGGAAAATTCCCTTCTTGCTCGCGACAAAAACACAGAAGAGAAAACTACAAAAAAAATAATACAAAACACGACCAAAATCAAATAGAAATAAAAATAAAAATCATCTATTTTCCATGCTATTTTTAACGACGCGCTGCGCAGATTGTGGATCCATATCTCGAGACCAAATCCTCGGCACAGGCGGTGCAAGAGACGCTGAACGACTTCAGTAAGCGGCAGGTCGACGTGACGAGCAGTTTGGAGAATTGGACAACGAGCATTGCGGAGAAGCGAGAAGTCGAATATCTACTCGAGAAAGTCATGAGCGACAACGAGGAGGTGAGTGCGGGGATCGAGAGTTTTGAGTTTTGAGTTTAATTGCGTCTAGTCAGGATTTTATAATGCAAATATATATTTAGAAATTCGCATATTCTTAAAAGACTTTCCCGTTTCGAGGGAATTTCAAGTACAGAAACATGCCAATTAGATTATGAGAGGTCTCTATTTTATGGATTGTCTCTGCTTAATGGATTTTAGATCAAAGGATTGTGTCTTCTAACTAATTAGTAGTAGTTTGATACCCTACAAAAATATAAATATACTCAAGAAAAGTAATGATATAAACTTCTCTTCTAGACCGTGGCCAAGAGCACCCAGGTGGACACCCAGCTGTATCCCGTATTCACCTCCCAAAGTGTGGACTCGAAGCAGCTGCTGATCAGCACCCGCGAGAAGCTGACCAACGTGACCCAGGACATCGAAAGGGCGCAGGATGAGATCCAGCAACGCATCCAGACGACACTCAGCATACAGACAAAGGATCAGCCATCGCTGGCCAAGATCGAGCAGGTGATCAACAACCTGCGCATGCTGAAGGCCAAGCTGGATGGCATCAAGTACGACTATCGCACCTTGGTGGAGAGCGTGGTGCAGTTCCTGGAGAACATAGTGCAGCTGCGTCGCGAAATCGACGACTACTTCGCCAGGCAGCAGAAGGAGCCTGCTTCCGGCGCGGATCGCAGCATTGCCGAGCACGAGAAATTCCGCGATCAGTGCATGGATAAATTTAGATCGCTAATCACACAATCCGAACTGCTGATCGATCGGGTGCGCGTACTGGAACCGCCGGGAGCCCGGGAAATCGACACCGATCGTATATTGAAGCTGCTCGAGAACCTGCGCCTTCACTTCGAGTCCAACAGCAGTGCCCGCATGTCGACTCTGGAGCGTCTGGAGAAGATCGAGCAGTTCCGCTCCGATCTCGAGGACATCGATCGCAGCCTGGACAGCGTTAGCCAGCAGCTGCACGAGATCAACAACCAGAGCGTCGACAGTCTGGCGGCGGCCAAGACCACGTCGCTGGCGTTCGAGTATTTTGAACGGACCATAGAGGTGAGTGAACTCCCGGCGAGCGGTTTATTGAGGTGGGTTAGGATCGCTCGGATGGGGCGATGTGTGGAACTATTTATTTGATTGGGTAAACATATAGCCACAATGTGAAGAAGTGCAGTGGTTCTATAGATTATATACTAGCTTGAAATCTACAGAAGAATATTAGAAAATCAGCAATAACAAAATGCCGTTGAAGAAAACAACATGTATAGAAAAATAATCAATGATTGGCTTGATGAAAAATAATTTATTGAGCGAGCAGTTTTACATATTTTCTTTAATGAAGACACCACACGACGCTGAACAGATTTCCCATAGATTTCGAGTTGACTTTTGATGGGTTTAAAATTATTGAATGATCTAATTCCATTCTAGTGTTCAATGCCCAGGCAATTGAAATCAACGCGCCATCAGCGACGCTGGGGCCAAACAGCCCACACGATCGAGGTAGCCATAGGCATGGATATATATCCATCCATAGAATAGATATATAGATACAGACCGGATCGATCCCTGCATGCGAGCAGAGCTGTGTTGCCTCTTTATTTTTGCATCACTTCCCGGTTACCCTTTTGGGTGGCCACCCATCCAAGTGGCAGCCCCACAACATTCATCAAATTTCCAAATAGGAAACGACGACGCACTGCCGGGATGACATTTCGAAAATATCGCAACTTTCAAAATGTTGTCGCTGTCAGCGGCGGGCGATGGGCTTTAGACAGACGGCGGCAGCTGTCGTTAGTTTGTAATTAAAAACTCTGGGCCAAATACATGAAATACATCTCAAAGATACGGATACACCAGATATACAGCCGGCCAGCAGCAGCAAGAAACCGAAACAGAAACACATTCAGACCACTTTGCATTGCACTTCTATTCGCTGTTGGGCATTTGCTGTTATAAATCGCTTCTGGCGTTCCAATTTTTATGACCAACTAAGCCAAAGACCGAATGGTTATGGAGGTGCACGGAGAAAAAAAGAACATTTTTGAACTAAATATTTCCCTTTCAAGAAAACCAATTATAAGTCAGTCTAAAAGTATGTTAAGAATTATTTCATCTCTCAAAAAATTCAGTTATTTCTTAAATTCATAATTTTTTACTATATATTCAGAAAGCTTTTGAAAATTTTGCTCTGTGTAGAAGAATATATTCCCGCTTGGCTGCACCTCGCCTAGACACACTGCGTTTTAGTTGCTGGCTAATGGGTTAATTCTCTGGCGATATATGTATATTTTTGGCTGTCTCTAAAGATTATCACATCACTTTTCCCGCCCACACATACAGCTGCTCGAGAAGCGGATCGAGAAGTTTACGGAATCCACCAGCCAACAGCTTTTGATTAGCAATCCCGAGAGCGAGCGGTACGTCAAGGACGAACTGCGCAAACTCAACGACAAATGGCAGAGCTTCAAGGATCAGGTGAAGCAGAAACGAAAGAGCCTCAACCAGGCAACCGAGTTCTTCGAGGTGGTCGAAAAGGTGGGTAATAAAAAGCCTCATAAATTATCTTTAAGAACTTACAGTAAATTAATGATATGTCTTAATATTATGTCTTCCATTCACAAAGCTTTAACGATTTCCTTTTCATTTCTAAATTATAAATCAACGAATATTAACCATAAACTATATAAATAGCTAACACTGATGAGACATGTGTTGATTTAATCATAAACCTATTCCCCAGATCGACGCGGAGTACCGTGAGATTAGCTACTTCTACACCAGCGTCTCGAACAAGGTTCCCTACCTCCGCGATTCCGTAGAGGCCGGCAATTTGGTCAACGATATCGAGAACTATGTGACCAGCAGGGAGACTGCTTTGCGCTCCAAGTTGGACAGTGCCTCGCAATGTGCCCACGACATGAACAAGGTCTCGTCCCTGTACAACGACGTGATGAACATCTTCCAGTCCTTCATCAAGCTGAAGATGGATATCAATGTGGTGCAGGAGAGGCTAAAGCACGAACAGCGCCAAAAAGAACAAAGGGAACGGGAGGCCCGTGATCAGGCGGAAAGGGAGAAGGCTCTTAAGGAAGCTGAGGCCAAGGAAAGGTTGTTCAGGGAGGAGCAGACGCGCCAGGAAAACCAACGACAGCAGGCGGCCATTGAGCAGGCCCAAAGAGATTTGGCAGCCAGGGAATTGGCTCTAAGGGAGCAAGCTGTCCGCGAGGAGGAGGCCAGATTACAGGCCATCAGGGAGCAGGCTACAAGAGATCAACTGGCCAGGGAGCAAGCTGCCAAGGAGGAGGAATTACGAATCCAATCCCTCAGAGAGATTGCCCGAAGGGAAGAGGAAGTGCGCCTTCAGAACAAGAGGGATGAGGAAACCCGCATACGTCGGGAAGAGGAGGAACGTTTCCGCAGGGAGAACGAATCTCGATCGAAGCGCGAAGAGGAGGCCCGCATCCAGCGTGAGGAGATCACTAGACTGCAAACCCTTCGTGATCAGGTGGATCAGCAGCGCATTGTGACCGAAAACATCCGAAAGGACATTCAGGTTAACTCCATTTTCACCGAACTGCGCTATGCCTCCCCGCTGTTCGTTCGTCCCCTAAAGGATGCAGTTACTCGTGAAGGAGATCGTTTCGTCTTCGAATGCGAGGTTACGGGCACTCCGGAACCCGCTGTGGAGTGGTTCAAGGATGGCATCAGTATCCAGAATAACTCCGACTATAAGACTACCTTCGATAAGGGAATCTGCAGATTGGTGATTGAGGAAACCTTTGCTGCGGACTCAGCGCGTTTCAGTTGCCGTGCTTCGAATCTGGTTGGAACCTGCGATACCAATGCCACTTTATCCGTTCGGGAAAATGCCACTGAAGTCCAATTGGTTCCACCAAGAATCCTACGTTTCTTGGAAAGCGGCAAGGCCACTGAGGGAAGTTCCTTCCAGTTTGCTTGCGTTGTGGCCGGAGTTCCTTTGCCGACGGTTCAGTGGTTCAAGAATGACAAGTGTATCGACGATTCCCCGGACTACGTCATCAGCTACAACAATGGAGAAGCGACTCTGAAGTTCGAGGAGGTCTTCTTGGAGGACGATGCGGTGTACACTTGCAGCGCCTCAAATCCAGCGGGTATTGAGCATTGTTCGGCTTCTCTGATTGTGGAACGTAAGTGGAACCCAACTAGCTATACAAATCTTCTGTTATACATCAAATCGAAAATTACGTTTTGATATTCTAATTTTAGCTCTGGAGCCCACAGAGCTGCCCAGCTTCAAGGTTCCCCTGTCGAATGCCATGGCTCGAGTGGGCCAGAAGATCAAACTGGAGGCCATCGTGGGCGGAATTCCCAGGCCAGAAGTCTACTGGCTGCACAACGGCAAACCCTTCCAGCCCCGTGATTCCAAGGTGAGTTCGATGGCTGCTTTTCTTTAATTCTAAGGGTAAAAGTCCCATAATTTATACTTTTTACTGGAAATATTTATAAGTTCATACATATATTCGAACTTTTCTGATAGATCGTAATTTACCAAATTTATTTATACACTTTTCTGGAAATGATTTGGTTTCTTGATCTTTTGGCAAGTCGGCCAATATTTTGTCTCCTTTTGGGATGCATAAATTATAATAAAAAGACAAAGTGTTGACGTATTATTTTCAAGGAATTTGAAAACAATTAACCAGAAAACTCAATTCTTTCAGCCAGATGAATACAAATATTGAAAAATTAGTTCACTATAACAATTTTTCCCTATGTTTCCACTCTAAGGCAATATCTGGCGGAAAATTCAGCATAAATATGTTAATTTAATTTGATTTTTAAAAGGAAACCCCCAAAGATTTCCGCCGACTTTCTCCCGAGTGTTCGCGATCAGACCCCCCTGCCAAGGGTAAACAAATTGGAAGGCATACCACCTAGTCCAATTCCCCCAACTGTCTGGCTATTGACCATTTCCATTATATACACAGAAACTTTGTGTATACTAGATACCGAATGAAAATCTTTGGCTGGAAAACTGAGATATATTTCTATATATTTTTGTGCGGTGGGCGTTGCATGTGTGGTTTGGACTCTAAATACTCGTAGTTCCAAAATTCGAAAAGAAATGGTCTGTCTGACGTCAGTCACGCATTATTCCCCTCGCCTGCGGAATGATGATCGTTGGTCAAACAGAATTCAAGGCGATCGTTTTGAAAAGACGCCAACGCACTTTGCGGACAGATAGTGCGCTGCATAAGTTGGCTATATGCTATAGCCGCCATAATATAATATCTAATAGCTGCAGTTTTTGGCAGCTCCCCCGTGCAACGAGCCATGCGAGCGTGGCAAATCCAATTCACCACAGTCAGGCCAGGCAATTTGTTTATTGTGGGCGCCAACATTGTGTATACAAATGTGCGCAGATATATGTTTGCAGATTTTCATTTTCATATTCGAAATATAAAAGCGAAAACGAAAATCTGGCGAAAATTAAGAAGTGATTTCATTGGCCGCACTTTTAATTGCAGCCGTCGTCGGTCGTTTGACAAAACATGATCTCACTTCTATTTGATGGATTGAGCCAATTCAATTACAGAAACTCTCTGATTGTTCTCCATTCGACCGTTGAACACCTGAACTCAGGTGCTTCCTGCAATTTGGGGCAAAACAAAGATCATTTGTTGTGGCAAAATAAACAAAGTGCTCGTGTCTGCCCCTCCAAGCCGCCGGATGTGCCTCATCCGCGCACACACACACGCAGACACTCGTAAATAAGATTTAAATCGGTGGTGTAAAAAAGAAGGAAAATTTAATTGCAAAAAAAGCACAAAACTAGAACGAGCCGAAAGCATTCAAAATCCACCACATTTCGATTGGGGTGTGGTGAATACCGAAACCCAAACTGACTTGACTTTCCGTGCTTTTCTCTGTACTTTCAGTACGAATACGGCCGCGTAACGCTGATAATCCCGCAGGCTTATCCCAACGACGCCGGATCCTACGTCCTGAGCGCCAAGAATCTAGCTGGCGAGGCCTATACCAGTTGCAACGTGATAGTGAAAGGCCGTCTGCCCAACGAGACCTCCGATTCCGAGATGGCCAGTGATATTGAACCCATCAAGCCCGCCGTTCATCTGCCCCTGAAGGACGTTTCCATATTCGAGGGTAAGCCCGTGAGGCTTGACTGCGTGATTGTGGGTCAACCCGAGCCCGAGGTCATCTGGTATCATAACGAGCGACCTGTCAAGGAATCCGCCGATGTTCAGTTGCTCTTCCAAGGCGATAGATGCTCGTTAATCATCCAAGAGGTTTACCAAGAAGATGCGGGGCACTACAAAGTGGTGGCCATAAATTCAGCTGGAGAAGCTTCCAGTAGCTGCGAACTCAAGGTCACCCCTCTGAATCAAGCTGAACCTGCCACTCGGGCCCAGGCGGAGAGGCAATCACTGCCCAAGGATTCACAGCCCAAGTTCGAAAGACTTCTATCCGATGTTCTGGCTGATGAAGGCGAGCAAGTAGTCCTTGAAGTCCAGGCCAGTGGTGATCAACCCTTGACAGCCCAGTGGTTCCTGACCAACAAGGAACTCCAGCTCGATCAGAGGATTACCACCCAATCCGACTCCGAGCTGGGAATCTTTAAACTCATCCTGAACAATGTGAATGCCGAGGACAAGGGAGTCTACACCGTAAAGGTCACAAACCCAGCGGGAGATGCCAAGTGCTTTTCGCATCTCATCGTGAAGTCTGTGAATGCTCCTGAAAACCGTAGAAGCAGCCAATCCTCCGTAGAAATCCTAGATCGACATCAGTGCCCCGAATTCAAAGAGCTGTTCAGTGACAAGCAAGGTGAAATCGATGATGTGATCAAGTTCGAGTGCATTGTGAAGGGAAAGCCTACACCCAAGGTCCATTGGTTCTTCAACGACCAACCCGTTCATGGTCATAATTTCCTGGTCTCCACAAGCGGAGAGCGCCAAGTGTTAACCATCCAGAAACTAACCCATGATGCCGTAGGCAAGATCAGCTGTGTAGCGGAAAACGAGGCTGGCAAAGCGACTTGTGTGGCTTTCCTGAATATCCTTGGAAGTGGACTGCCCGCCTCTAGTGAAGTTCAAACCATGAGCCAGGAGCACAACACGGAGTCATCCAGGGTCACCATCAAGAAGCAAACCTTTACCACCACCTCCACCTCGCAAGTGAATTCCTATGAGGGAAATGCCCCACAAACCGAGGTCCATCACTCCTCCGCTCACATCGATCAATCCCTGAAACAATTTGGCCAGCAAAGACCCGAGATCGTAGAGAGTCATCACTACGAGGAGCTGCACAAGAGCAAGGAGATGAGCAGTCCCAGCGTGCAGCAGAAGTCTTTCAGCTTCATACAATCCAGTGCACCCAATGGTCAATCTGCCGTCGCCATACCCGACTCACCCACTCGCCTCAGGCGGGAGATTGCTCCCAGATTCACCACTCCACTTAGCGGAAAGATCGTAGATCAAGGCTCCGATGTCAGCATGGAGGCCATATACGATGGCTTCCCTTCGCCCGAGATCAAGGTGGAGAAGAACGGAGGTCAGCTATTCGAGGATGCCCACACCAAGATCTCCAACAAGTGCAATCGCGTCACCATCGAGCTCAAACAGGTGGGCGTGGCCGATGCGGGACGATATGCGGTGACAGCCTCCAATACAGTGGGACAGTCCACCAGCACAGCGGATTTGGTCGTTAAAAGTGAGTATTTCAAGGAGATTTTTAGATATATTTTGGGGAATATTTTAAGGTTTAAATTTTTACTAAGATTTAATGAAATAAGATCTCAATATTTGGAATATTTACGGTCCATTTACTTAAAGGAATTATTTGAAATTTTCCTGGGAAACACATTAAATCTTGCAAAAACGGAAATAATTTTGTTTAATGGCGACCGCCGCTGTCTGCGACCTAATTTAACCTATCATATTACCACCACCCCCAACTGTATTTTTTATGAAATCAATTTCCCAGAATTAAATGAACTAAAAAGCTGGCGAAAAGTGTTCACAAGTCTAAAAAACCACATACACATGTTCCCTGCAATAGGCCCTATATCATATGTTGTCTGTCCGTCTGTCCATGCGCCACATCAATCAGCGGAGAGCATTAAAGTGTCATTGTCGAGGGAGGAGGGGACCGTCAATAGATCTCCAAACGTCAATGCCTCGAATGCCGCCTGAATGCTACCCCAGAAGAATATTGATGAGTTTTTAGTGGTCGAAGGGGGTTGGAGGATGATTCTCGGGCTATTGCTATTGCTATATTGTTTTTGTTTATATTTCAATCTTTTCTGTTGGCTGGTGCCCGGGTGAGGGAGCATCTCTTGGCCAATGCAAAAGATTTTCTTACACAAATTTATAAATATTCTTTGGCAGCCGTGGGGGTGGTGGCAACGGGATGTGGATGTGGATATGGTTGTGGATTGGGGTTGGGGCTGTGGGATAATGTCTGCAATTATTATTATGTAAATCGCGTTGAAGACCGAGATCGTTTATTTACTCGGGCTGTTTGCAGATTTGTCGCTGCCTGCAATGTGTGTTTGAGATTATTTTTACTGCCTGTCGGCTGTCTAAACGAATTATTCATTATGGCCGATTATTGGGACGGCTGTTCAAGTAAATTATTCAGCCACGAATCTGTTGCAATGACACACAAAGGCTGATATTTATGTTCGCATATGCTAAAGCTCATTGTTTGAACTTCTTTTCCCCGAATTTTAGAGACCATATTCCCGCCTGTCTTCGGCCGACGACTGCAGGCTCAGGTCAGCAAGAAGGGCGAGAAGCTGATCATGGAGGTGGAGGTCACTGGGCTGCCGGAGCCCACAGTCACTTGGCTAAAGGACGAGAAGCCATTGAAGGATGCTGGCATCTCACAGCATCGCCTGCTGGCCCAGGGCAACTCCTACAGGCTGATCATCGAGAAAGGTAACTATGACTAAATCCACCATTAATGAATCGGAATCTATATATATGTTTGTGTTTTTGGAAATTTTACTTTCGAATTTTCTTTCGAAACTAGCAAAATAGAAAGGAAATGACAGCCAAATGGCAGCACAGCCAAATTGTTTACTTAACCCACATTTTTGCAATGTTTAATTTATCGATCATCAGCACTCAAAATGTTTTTGCAAACATCTATAGAGTTTAGTCAAAACATGTTTATATAATATAAGTTTAATTGCCAGTAGTCCTAGGCATTTTATGAGTCTTTAAAAAAGTTGGTCTTTATTCTTATTTTATATATATATTTATATATATTTCCTTAGCGCAAACCTCGGACTCTGGCAAGTACATGGTACGTGCCACGAATGCCGGAGGTGAGGCCAAGAGCATTGCCGACTGCGCCATCCTGGAACCATCGCCGGAACGCATGCAGGAGGTGGTCAAGACCATTGTCTATGAGACGGGTCCCGTGGCTCCGTCCAGCGAATTCAAAACCGAAGTAAGTGTGCATGTGCTCAATATCTAACCACCGACTACTATGCATTATCCTCCACGACCACCTTCAACTCTTTCAATCTTCTCCGATCTATTCTATCTCTTCTTTTCGACTCTGTTAACTTACTTTAATATCGATCAATATAATAAACCAAACTTTTGTGAATTTTCTCCTCTCATGATGCCAACGTCGTTCGTTCTTTCGTTTCGCTTTGCTCATTCCACGGGTTCTCCACACTCCATCATCTCACAAAAATACACTGAAACAGATTCAGGTGCAGAATCAGATTCAGATTCCGAATCAAAACAGCGAAAACCAACAGTCGTACCAGAACAGTCAGACCGAAGTGACCAGTGCCAATGATCTCCACGGTCTGTCCGAGTCGAAAGTGATCACTGAGCATCGTTGCACCACCGAGGCAACCATGCGTCTAGAGCACAAATCGAACTACCTGGATCTGCCCGAGTTGACCGCGCGCCCCAAGACACCAACCACAAACGATACTATCACCATCACCACGAACACTGCCACTGCCAGCATGGATCAGACAGATCAGACACAACCTAACGCCAACACCACCAAAGCCCCACCGCCAGTGCCACCCAAACCCTGTACACCAGTGGTGGCCACCACCTACGGCCAACAGCAGCAACCACCGCAGACGCTGACCAGCACCAGATACGAGCAGAGCGAGCACAAGTCCACCACCACGTCCTCATCGTTTGACTACTTCAAGAAGATCGATGAGGAGACCGTGACCCAACGACCCAAGCCACTGGCCTTCAAGCCCCTGGAGACTGTGGTGCGCCAACCTAAGGCTCAATCTCTGGCGGAGGAACTAAGGAGTCTTAACCTGATCCCAGGAGATGCCCCGGAGTTCTGTTACTCACCGAAAACCGAAAGAACCGAACCTAAGGTACCACTAATCACTGAAAAGATCAAAATACTTTCCGAAGTGCAACCGAAGGAGCCACCACCACAAGGTGGAGTACCAGTCTTCCCTCCACCTTTGGGTCTTCAAACTGTCCAACACGAATCCACAACGACTAAGGAGGTGAAGGTGGAGTATGGACAACCGATTGTGAGACCTGCTGCGGTTTTGGCCACTCCTGCTCAGCAGAATCCGCGTTCACCCTCACCCAAACCCTCAGCCGAAGGAGTGGCCATGTCTAGGCTATGGACACCCACTGGAGTTACTGGATACACCAGCGATGTAGAGCAGAAATCAGAAAAAACAATGATCTCCAAACTGGCCACACCAACACCAACCAAGGAGCTAAACGCACCCTTCCTGGTTAATCAGATAGTGAAGAGCATTCCGCCAACGACAGCAGCTCCTGTCACGCACGTGGTGAATGTGGAACTGGAACCTGGGACACCACCAGAGATTTGTTTTGCTCCCAAGGTAGAGGAAACCCGCCGACGTTCTTTGGTGGAGAGCATGGAGCAGAAATTGGAACAGAATTTAATCCAAGGACCCAGTAAAGTCCTGCCCCATTCGGTGCCCACCTTGACACCAGTCACTCCTCCACATGTTCAGACGAAACCTTTGGGTAACTCCACCTACAGACCACCACCTCCTGTTCTGCCCACCCGATTGGGACTGTACGAAAGCGACTATGAGAGTGATCGCTACAAGTACAGTGGCAGTGAGTCGGATGTGGAGCCCGGTATTCGCAGCCAGCCACAGCAGACCACCACGGAGACTTCTTTCAAGTCCAGTGGTTACACAGCTGACACAGAGGAGCATTCGAGCTATCGCAAGTCAGAGTCAAGTTATTACGAAACTAAGTCATCATCCACGATGGGAACTGCACCGCAGCAAACCCAATTCCCGAAGTTGCAGCCTGAGCCCCCGGCACCGGTTTACTTCACCCCGAAGCCACAGCCACAGCCGCAGGCGCAACCTCAGGTGCCGCCACAACCGAGTTTTAGCAGCCAGGAGGCGAAGGTTCGCATTAGATTTTTCTCTGTGTCTATCTGTGTGTCGTTTCTATTGTCGTTGTTCATTGTCGTTGTTGCTAGCACCTGGAGCTGAAAGGCAGCTTACACTTACACCAGCCAATAGCCTCTGTGTCGTTGTTGTTCTTACTAGCTAACTGGCTAACACCCAAGCCCCGAGAAACACACCAATTAATCACTAAGCTCCTTAATTATCATCCACATTTTACATTCTAATTAACTTGAAAGATGTCTTAATCAATAAAATATTGAAGAGAACTTTCAAGTGTTAAGATTTCCCATTCGTTCATTTGATTGATGCTTCATTTGCCCTTCTCTAACCCTAACTATCAACCTAATCGAGTTAAGCATTCGCCTGATATCTAAGCCCGTTCGTTAACTCACATTACCCTTTGTGTCTAACTTAATTCAAAGTTAACTCCTCATTAATATTGTTCTCTATCTCCTTAGGACTACAAGTACACCTCCTCGAGTATGACCAGCAACTACTCACACAATATGCAGAGCAGCAGCAGCTCCTCCCATCACGAGACCAAGTTCTCCTCGACGACAGCTCCACCACCAGTAGTTACCTATCCCAGTCCCATTCCTGCTCAAAGGAAGACCCCAGCGGCGGAGTTCAGTGACTATAGCAGTGAGATTGATGAACGCTTCCGTTCCGTGTCGCGAGCCAACGAATCCGATGCAGAGATCAAGGGTTACCGAGTGGTGTTCCCACCCACACCCACTCCTCGCACAAACTTAGCCACCAATGGCCACAAGTCTCCAGTGGTGGTGATTACTCCCTCGCCCATGGAGTTTGAGCCTACTCCCCAGGAGTTGGGTAGCCAGTATGGCAGGCCTAAGTTTGAGCCGATTGGCAGGGAGATTCGCCATGAAATCAAGACGGAGAGTAGCTCCAAGCAGTCCAAGTTAAGCCAAAGCCAACAACAGAGTCAGCCCGTCTTCAAGCCCAAGCCTGTGGCCGCCAAGTTCATTGCGGCAACCCAACAACAACAGCAGCCACAGGCCACCGCCCGTCCGACCATGTACTACAATGCTGTTGCTGGAGCTCCGATGCACCTAGCCAAGGTTGCCACCGAGACGAAGAACGTGATGCAGATGCACGAGTCCACGGAGAGTTCTCAGCGGGTAGTTAATATGCAGCAAACGAAGAGGATTATACACTTTGACAGTCCGCAGGAGCAGAGGGATCAACAGATCCTGGAACCCTTCCCCTACAGCCCCGCCCAAAGTCGTACTCCTTCGAGGCAATCCCATCTGCCACCTCCGGCCACACCCACTAAATTCGTGCCCGGCGAGTTCCGGGAGAGTGATTACGAGAGTGAGATTGAAGGAGCCCGAATTCAACCTCTGTGGTCACCCTACGGAGATGGTTTGACTAAAGGTTTCAGGCGAGTGGCACCACCTCAAGGAGCGGGTAGATCCTGCAGCCTGCCACGAACCTACGAAAGGGTGTTGTCACCCATGGAATTCGATAGGGGTCCTGAAATGCCCAGCAAAATTCACGTGGATATTAATACCTTGAAGAAGGAGCAACGCGGCGGCAGTACAGTGACCACTCAACATCGTACACAATCCTTGAACAGGAACTCCACCATGAGGCAACAGCAGCAACAGCAACAGCAGCAGCAGTCCATGGATCAGATTGATAGGGCCGGAACTTTGCCCCGCTACGGTTATAGTTCCCTTCAACAGCAGGCCGAGAACCAGGGCCGTCGCATGGGTTCTACCTTCCTCCAGAAATCCCATCAATTCGTCGATGATGTCAGCAGGGAAGTCAGGAGTTCTGCCTCGAACGGCATCCGTCCGGGCTTCAAGAGGGCTCCCAGCGAGGGCAGCAGCCAGCAACCTCAGGCCTACCGGGATGAGTCGCGCGTCTCTCAATACGGTAAGTGACCGCCTTTCATTGAGTCCTCGGACTAAGCCCGCAGTAGAGATTTGGAGCTAGCTCCCCTCATTTGAATTGGTATTTTGAGATTTGAAATTTGAAAATGGAGAATTCGGTTGAATTGGTTTAAGAAATTTGCATTCGTTTTATACCAGACCTTAACTAACCCTTTTCAACTTTCATATTATTTATCATTTTGATTAATTAAAGTTTTTATATTATTTTAAAGGTTAAAAACATTTACTCATTATCCAAAAGTATTTATTTATTGTTTATATTTATAATTTGCTAACCCCTATGAGTTATACTTTGAATTCGAAAAACATATTTATCTTTAAGCATTTGTTTGTACATATTCCCGACCATCTGTGATCAGTTCGTTACCACCTAAGTATTATTTACATTTTTTATTTGCGGATAAAAAGCTTCTATAACGAAACCCAATCATTAAGTTAAACTCTTTATCGAATATGTTTGTCTGTAAACCGTAATCAGGAACCAAATGCGTCGACCCCAATACCGGTTTAATCTATTTCAAATACGATTTCGGCTATGAGTTTGGCATCCTGTTTCCCGGCGAGGGTCACAAGTTTGTCAATAGCCAGTGGAACAGCAGTGGCAACAGCAATAGCAATGCCAAGCCAATCCAAAACGGACGTCACTCCCCATACCCATTGAAACTTCCACCCGGAAACGAACTGGTGATACCCGTTCAGCATGAGAGATCCTCTCAAGGTTACAGTTCCGACAATGAGGTGCAGCGAAGGAGCCAGGCCAGAAATTGGTCCAGTACCAGGCCAATGGCACCACGGACTGTCAACAGCCAGAAGCGCTATAGCCTGCCCAGTTGCCATAGCCTCGATATCCACCTGGATCGCCTCCATGCCCAGGCACCTCGGCTGCCGCCGGATCAGATGATCCGCACAGGTACTGACAGACGGCTGTCACCCGATGAAAGCCATCAATCAGAACGGCTTAACGCTATCACAAACGCTATTGATGTTGTCAATTAGTCTAGGACAAGTTTATGTTGTGATCACGGTTGTCGCTTTTTATATATATTAAAAATTAGTACAAAAGATATAAACTTATAGTAAGAAGTACTAGAACTTGAAAGCTTCTTAAGAAGTTAAAGTTCTTAACAAACTCTACTGACGAAAGTATATATCTTTTGAGCTTAACAGAAGCAATCGTGGTCTTGTGCCCTTGTGATTAACCCACAAACGTCATCGGCAGTATCTTAAGTGTGTAAATAAGCAGGTCCTTTTGTTGTTGTTGTTGTCGTAACCCCAAGTCGAAAAGCATGCTAACCCAGAAACCCAGCCCGCTGCCTTGTTTTTGCATGAACAGTTTGTTTGCGTTCTTCGTGTTTAAACTTTAAAGTGAAACGTACTTCTAAGTGTTTGTGTTCCGTGCTTGCCGCGTGCTAATCCCACTAATGGATGCGCTTTGAAAACGCTGAGCCAGAGATTCTAATGGTTTCCCCACACTCCAGTGCCGGAACTGCCCAATACGGAGCCCGTCAATGCCCATCTGAGTCGCGATGAGCTGGCACAAAGGCAGCCATTATTCATAACGGTAAGTCAGAGTCATTAACCCAAGAACCACGTGATCCGCTCTTCGAATACTGAAAGCCGTAAATCTCTCTCGCTGCTCCTTCATTCCACTTAACTCCACAAATTCCAAATGCCGGACGGACGGACAGCCGCTGAAAGACATCGCAGTCGGAGTGGGAGGAACGGCGCGCTTCGAGTGCATTGTGCAGGCCCATCCGCAGCCGCAGGTCAACTGGACGCACAACGGCGGTCACTTGGAGTCGGGCAGCAGGCATTGCATCGAGTACCGGAATGGCGTGTGCCGGCTAACACTGCCGCAGGCCTATCCGGGTGAGTACGGCGGACAAGCAGGTCAACCAAACATGCACAGAACAAAACGGGGAACAATATCGACTGATATCTAAATCAGTTTTCGAAAGGATTTAGTAGTAGATAAAACCTCTAATCAAAATTGATTTAAATTGGAAAAGCATTTACTGAAATAGGATTAGTTTTTCCAACCCAATTTTGTTCTGTGTAACCCCAAATCGGGCCAGCTCATTAATCGTTTTACCTTCTCTCCTCCCCACTTCCTCCTGGAATGGCTGGCATCCTTTGGAATGGTTCGGAATCCGGCAGACGACAACGGCAGCTACGCCTGCACCGCCGTGAATCCCTTGGGAGCGGCCACCACCGGCGGAAATTTGACCGTTTCGAGCACAAACCGTGGATTTAGATACTAAGCTTGTTTAAACGCAACTATTATTATAATTTGCTTTATGATTTGTTCAATGCCAAAGTTTAGCCTTATTGTGTGTATGTACTCTCTGTGCCCGCGTCACATACTTTCTCCCCTATTGTTTTTCTGGGCTGAGGAGATTGGAAAACTTTCAGCCAAATTACACACTTTACATGCATACAACAGAGGAATATAGTATTACTTGTGTTTTTGTCGAAAATGAAATAAACAAATATTGAAACGAAGGAGAAAAGTTTGGTTTATATTACATACAAAGGCTTTTCCAGCTTTTCCTTTTGCGGATGATCGTGAAAAGCTTTAGTGGTGGCGCTCTCTAGGTAGCAGATCTGGGATAATGTTCGAAAAAGCTACAGACGATCATTTCGAAAAAGCTTTTCAGCTATTCAGACGTTAGATGGCGCCATTTAATGGCTGGCTGATCTCAGAATTCTGAAAAATATTCGAAATGAATTTTAAAATAAAACCTTATGGAAAATGATTTATTATTCTCGCTGTTTACTAGATGTGTTTACATTATTATTGATCTCTCAGATCTTTTGAGCAGAATTTTCCAGATTAATTTTGATATTAGTTTTCTTTATCCTTTGATCTCCCTTCCCCATTAATTATCCATTCATTTCTTAAATATAGTTTCTGAATGAATTACAGAACTTTAAGTTCCCATTCATCATAAGCACTTAGTCCACTAATTAATTTTCATCATTCGCTTTCCATTACTCATTGCCGTATAAATATTTTAACTAGGCCAAAAACTACTTTCAAAATCGGGTCAGAAGATGATTCAAAAAACGCGAGCAAAAACAGCTAAACAAATGTTTGGATTTGTGTGGAATAAAATGTTGTGGGTGGGCGGCTGACGGACCGACTAAGTTTCGTTCTGCTGCTCATAAATGATTTATTTGACTTTCGGCAGTGTTTATTTATCTGAGAGGTCTTGGCAGTTTCTTTTTGTCGCGATCGCTTGCCAAGAATCAGCCCGCGAGTAAAACGCGAAAATGCGAAAAATTTCATGAAGCAAAGGGGCCAGCGAGGAAACTCGGACGGGCCAGACATAAACACTCTCGGCTGTCAAGGCAATGAGGCCCAGTATGTAGGCCTTAGAGAGTCCTTGACACTGACACCGAACCCAAAACACCGGCAGTGCTGCCAACTACTAGAAGATTAGGTAGCCAAAACTTTCGGTAGAAATAGCCAAGTTAAATATCTATCAAATTGGCTAAAATATTATCCAGTGTTTTATTCAGAATAATGTAATGTTTTTAACATTAAATTTTTAAGGGAAGATAATATCCTAGAACTAATGTTCTAGATTGTCTTTAACACAGCTATGAGCAACCTCGCTGCCAAACCCAAATTCACCGCCTACTTTGGGACATATGACACACTTCTGTCGATGATTAGTCCCCAGTGGGTGGGTGGTAGAGAGTGGTCGAATGGTAATGGTGGGTGTTGTTGGGCGGTTCAAGGTCCTCGCATGCCAATCTGCCAATTCTAATTGTGTGCTTAGTGTGCCTGGCCAAAGTGTTCGAGTCATTAGGCAGCGGTCCAAGAAACAAATCAGATCCTACTCGCAGGCCAAATGCAAGCACTCTGAGTCATTTGCAGCATCATGGCCAGTGCTTAGTGCATCGTTTGCGAAAATATAATGGCGTGGTAATTTCATTGAGAACGGATTTTGAATGCGAACATATGGCCAGATATTGCACCTTAATGATTCATAAAATTGCTTCCCGCACCGATAAAACCCTGTCAGATGTATACGAGTATATTTAAAATATGAAACTATGTCAGAATTTAATTCGTTGTAGAAATATGAAAAACATTTCGCGTGTGGCGTTCTTCAATGCGAAACAGAAATATTCGGCCCGTGTCCGGCCTGTGTAGTATATTTCTCTTTTTTCTTTCGCTGAAAATCTTTTTTTATTTGGCACATTCGCAAAATTTCACTCGCTTTAGAGCAAACACAATATCTGTGTTTTGCCAGAGCGAAATGGTAAATGTTATTTCACCAGATTCCAATACCCAAAGGCAAACATTAAGGCCTTCGTGGATACGTTTTTAAACTGCCTGGATTTTCAGCGGCAGCAAATGCCAAAATATGTGCCACAATTTGACCACCAAAGTGTCCCATCTACATTTTTTGGTGATGAGTCTTTCCGCAGATATACAAACATTATGGTTTTTTCCTGCTCTCTGTGTTTTTCTAAATTAATTGGGTAATTTTCTTAAAATAGCAAATGAACTCAGCGCAACAAGTCACAAACCACACACAGTTTTTCCTTGCCACTTCAAATTTTCGTTCATATTTTCTTAGATTTTCTTTGTTTGGCTCAGAAAGCTGTGGATGAGGAAACAACTTGGTGATCCATTAGATGGGGGATCCAGTTGAGTGCTTTATTATGATATTATTTTAGATTGGTCAACACGGCAAAGGCGTGGTCGCACTTTTGATAAATGCAGAATAATTTAGGACTCTTAAGATCATACGAGACCTAATGACCTATACTAAAAGATCCTTAGCCGAACTACGTCGTTTCGCGAAAATGTATAGATATTTGTTTTATATAATTAATATTTTCTGGCAGATAATTTTCTATGGCCGGCGGCGCACTTGCCACATATAAATTTAAATAAGACTATTTCCGCTTTGGTTTCAGTGAGATTTTCTGGGCTGCGGCGACAATCTATAGCTAAATTAACCAAAAATATATGTTTATAAACTGGATAAGAGCCAAAGGCATTCGAATCGGATACTATAAAGTAGTTGGGAGGCTCGTAAAATTGTTTTCCTCACACCCACACGGCCAGCTGAAAAAGTGTAATAAACCAGCGGCAGTTCGAAAACTTAAGGAATTGGCCCAGAACTGCGCAGATGTTGGCTAGAAGCATTTAGCACTTCAGTTCGCCCAACATTTGTGCAAACATGAAAATATTTGAATGTCTATATGCATAGATTTAATTTAATTGGGCGCAACAAACTGAGGGACTGGCGCCTTGAAAGAGCCGCGGATTCTGTTGCATAATCCCCGATGACAGGCAGCCTCAACTGAGGAATGGTTTTGGGAATGGGATACGAAGCATCCGTGCCGCCACGCGTTGATGACCCTGGCCAAGTCAGTCACTCTCGCGGGGCGAAAAGAATCTTGGCAACTTATTTATTTATACGCACGCTGTAAATTAGCAAACAAAACAGCGAACAAACGCAGACAATAGACAAGTTGGTGTGTTGAAGATGTGCAGCGATTTCTGTTCTGATGAAAATCGGGGCCAAGTTTTAGCATAAACACGAATTCCGCTAATTGCCAGAAAGGCGCTAGAACTTAATTGTTTTCAGCTAATTGAGCAGGAATATAAAAACGCAGCAGTGCAGCCATAAAAATCAAAGATTCCAATCATTTCCGCGTTTCTAATTCCACAAAACTATCTACAACACTGTAAGAAATATATAATAAAAAGTATTCCATTAAGAATTGATATAGAAATACTTCCAAAAATGATGAAGAATTTCAACTTTTTTCTCTACTTTGAAATATATTTTCGTACTTATTTACAAATATATTTCTTTCCGTGTACCTTCCTGCAGATCAAGGCACGCAAACGGATTGCTTGCTAATAACCGAAGAGGAACCGGCGCCGGAGGCCACGGAACAGCCCCTGGATAATGGCGTCAATAAAACGCCTTTGCGCAAATCAGCCTCGTTCTCCTCCACGTCGACCAGTTCACCGGCCAGTTCTTCCCTGGGTTCGGCCACATCGACCATGTCACTGCGCTCCTCGACACCATTGAGGAACACAAATCATTCCCAGTCAAGCCGAGCTCTGCGCAGCGACACTATCAATACATTCCAGAAGTGGGAAACCACAATAGAGTCCATCAGCTATGTCAGCACAAAGACCGTGTCCATTTCGGATTTCAGCCAGGAGCCGCAGCTACGTGAACAAACAGGTAAACAAAAACCAACCATTTTAATTGCATTTTCAGCTTAATGTTGTTTCCATATTAAATCCATAATTAATCATTGGCTAAATGCTGCATTGTGATCGCAGAGCGATCTGGAAAATTGCTAACTACAAAATGGGCAGTCTCGATCTCTCAATCTCGCATCCATTCGCCATGTCACGCAATCCATACACACATATTTCGAATATCTTTGAGGTACCGCATGTAAAATCACTAAATATAGATTACAGCCACCGCTCTGCTCTGCACCACATTGCAACTTTCATTTACCAGAAAGGGAGGTTCGACAGTGGCGCTGGGAGGTGGAGACTTTGACTGCGACTCGTGTGGCTAATTGTATAAACAATTGATATGAAAAGGCTAAGGGGAAGGGGGTATCTATAGAGTCGAATTAGGGATACTCTTTCGTGTTTGTTAAAATAAATCCTAAGAAACAAATAAAACTAAGAATCCGGAATCATAAATCATATCAAACAGAAATTAGATTTCAAAGTGAAAAAACTCTATCATGATATTATAGTAGCTGTAGTACCCCTCCGAGGGATTACCTCGACCACATTTGGACATTTTATACCTAAATTGCCGCTTGGCATGCAGTGCTCTTGGGGCGCAGTCGCCGCAACATCGTTGTTGTCGACGTTCCGTTTCGGTTTTATGGTTTTGCTGAATGGGGGGCACCAAGACCGGGACTGGGACTTGGGATTCAGATTCTGATGGAGATTGAGACTGGCTGCAATGGTCGCGAAATTCGATGCCAAAACGAGACTCTGGCAATGCAGATCTGCTTACGCGACTCATTACATCTGGGTGAAAAAGACAATAAAAAAAACAAGCATAGTGTATTTATAACTTTAAGATGGGATTGGCTTGGCTTGGGGTCGCCAGAGCTGAGCGGCTTGGGAGGTGGCGTTCAGTTCACAAGCATATAATCCAAAGATTCTATATCCATCATTCTCGCTGCCTGCTGCATGTTGCATGTTGCCTGCTTCCAACGCTCAAGTGTCAACTCATCCAGCATCTGTTCCATCCTGTCGATCTTGTCTCTTGTACGATCGTTAATTGAACTCGAATTCTTTTTCTTGTTTGCAGTAAATTGAATGCATCGCCCGAGTTCGAGAGCTGGGCCAAGAGAGAAGCCAAACTAATTTTTGAGCAAAACTAAAATGAACTAAAACAACAGTTGCCTTATTATATGTACTAAACCATTAATAATACTAATTAAAAGACAAGTGAAATGTTTTCTTGTATACGTGTTGTGTTTGTTGGCACATTCTCGGGCCGTGACATAATTGGGCGAATATTTTTGCACAAAGCATCTCCGATAAGATACAGATACTGCCTCAGCCTGGCCAGATAGATAAGTGCTGTTAATCTTACGGACAGCTGTCAAGCGGATGGTTGCTTGGAAAAGTTGTGCACTTGGAAAAACTAGATATAAGGACAAGGCGGAATGATCTGCAGATCTTTCAGAGTAAAAACAATTTTTATTACATAATTCTGTGGAATATAACAAAACCATTTTCTTTTCAGACTTGGGAATTATAAGGTCAATAGATATTGCTTTTCCTTTAAATTCTTTAACGAGATGTAGAGATATAATATTTCGAATTAATTCAAAATGGATCATAAATAACATTAAATCGACCATGAAGTTGCATAATTGTTTTCACTGTATTAATATTCATACTCGTAGCGCATCGCTAACAACAAGCGTAAACTGTCTTTGCAATCTGCCTTGCAGAACCGGCTAACTGTTGCTCCTGTTGTTGTTTTGGTGGATCTTTTAGCCAGAAGAAAGCTTGCCTCTTTCTTGGCTTATCTCTGCCAGAGGCACTCTAATGGTTGTAGATACATTTGTATCTAGTCGGTGACAGTCGAAACTTTGCCGTCGCTGCGCCTGGCTGCCTAGAATCAACTTCGCCGAGTTTGTAATTTAATGATTCTGTTACTGAGTGGCTGTTACTACTGCTGGCACTACTAGCACAGCCATGTTAACAATTAATTTGTGCACAATAAAAAACAATATTGCATGACCATTGCAAACCAGGTTGCCGTATACAGCCATATAGTGGCTGCCTTGGGGCAACTCCTCGCCATAAAAGGTCTTAGCTAGCTGTCGTTTTAGGTGCAATTTGTTTTTGAGCTTTTCTGAAATGGCTAAAAAGAAATAGAAAGTTGCGACATTTTTGCCAATTGGCCACTAAAACCACATCTCTGTGCTGATGATTAAGACACTAAATGAATAATCAAGTTATATGTATCAAACGGGCGGACGAGCCAAATCTCATACATATCTATACTCGTACATCTATGTGGTTTTAATTTTAGACAAACAAAATAAATTATGTGGAAAATGTGAAAAAGAAACCCGAAGGCATAACCAAATCCCCCTAAGCCTTTAATTAGATTATGCAAAGAATAATTCCAAGATTCTCTTGCAACTGGTTTCTTATTTATTTGTTCAAGATCAACTCTGACGGATATATCCTTGTCCGATTCTTGCTAAAGAGGCCACCATAAGGAACGGCTATCTGGCTGGAATCAATAGATACGGATCTGTGCCGTGTGTATGCATTTGATTCTAACAGTATCTAGAATTTCTATGGGATGGCTTCTATCTGTTCTTTTTCGTGCACACAATGTTGAAAAATACGTGTCAAAAATAAATCGCCATATATTTTTAGCCAACTTACTCAAAACCCGAACACTTTTTGAAATCCCAACGAGAGAGCCAGAGAAAAGCTGCGGGAGACTACCAAGACTCCCAGGAGATATCTCGCTCTCCGTGGCGATCCAAGGCAAATTACCGAGTCTCCTGGGGCAAATGTCTGACAACCAATTTAAGTTGGGCCGATATGGAGTTGTAGTGAAATTAAGATAAACCTAGATATTAACATTAAACTATAATATTAACTAAATACAAAAGTCTGGATCTAATTTTTAACGGACAAAGTAAAAAAAAGATTATGGATAAAACTTAGCTTTCTAAGCTCCTCGATCCTTTATAATAAATTGAATTCTTACAACAACTTATATGCCCCACCGTGATGTGTAGGGTATCCACCACTCTCACAGTTTTTCCCACAACAACAACCACAAGACGTGTCCCGAGGAAAATGCAAAAATATCTCATGTGGAGCAAGATCTTCACCAGCCGAGCTCTCCACCTCTCTCTCGGCGGGAGATCTTCAGAGATCGTGTGGACTCGGGCGGCGTTCGGCTGGGCAGGCACAGCTACTTGATCGCATTCTCCGCGAGATTTTGTCATTCTTCGCTCGCACCTCACTAACGATCGACGTCTTGGTTTCAGTCTCGGGGATTATGACTTGAAACAGTTTGAAAATAGATATTTTTTAAAAGAATATACATATATCTATATCTAAACGCACCATACGGTACAGATATATGTATACGTTCGCAGCCATTTCGTTCGCTTAGAGTCCCGCACACACGCAAATATATATAGAACGTCGAAAGGATAACGCAATTTCGAGTAAGGATCAGTCTGAAGTGTAAAAAATAAGGAAAATCCTGAAGGAATAGTGATTGAAAAAAAGTGTTCATGAAAATTTTCTCTGGTTACGAAACCACTTCGAGAAAAATGCCGAAAGAATTTTTCAGTGCGCTAAATATCTAAAAATACCATCCGATCGGGTGCTTCGTTTCGGATTCCGATTCCCATTCGGATCGTATCGGATCGGTGCTTCGGTGGCTCCACTTCGTGGGTCCGCACCCAATTCAACGAATGGACTGTGAAATCGTGTGCAAACAGATATCAAGCGATCTATATATATAGTCGAACCTGCACATATCAAACGATCTCGTATATACGCTCCTGCCATGTGTATGAATGTGCATTATCCTGGCTGATCCTGGCAAGGATTACCCGCTGGAACAGCCAAGATAATTCCACAAAAGTTGTGAAAATTCTTTTACATAGATCATTGGGCCAATGCAAGGTTTTCCTATAGGAGAAACCAGAAAAATGTTTATTAATAGCCCCGTGAAAAATAAGAAGCTACCACCGACTGTGCTACTGTGCTTCTGTATGTGTATGTGTGAAGAGAGTGTGTGTGTGCGTATCTGTGTGTCGCAGTGAAATATTCTCGTGGCTAAAAATAGTTGGAAAGCCTCACAGGCAAAGAATATGAAAATGAATATGAAGAAGGATGGCTGATATGAACGTCACGCGAAGAGATCTGTGATCTCGCCTGATTTATATCTACTCGCATATCGAGAAACGAAAATTGAAAGCCATTAAACAAAATGTGTGACAGGCAAACATAAAAGTAAATCAAAGATACAAAAACCACGAAACGAAAATAAATGTTGGCCAAAATCGCAGTGATTAATAACCCGAGTGTCGTCGATTTCTGTTCTTGCCACTCAAAATGAAAATCCCTTCAAAATTATTATTTTTATTTCAGCAATTTAAAGAAGCGACCAAAGAGAGATAAATATATATAGAAGTATATCAAGTGAAGAAGCAAATCAAAGAAAGAGTGATCGCGAGGTGTTCAATTCTACAGTGCAGTTCATTCTGCAGCGATTTGGTTGTCATTTTAAATGATATATAGTGATATATAACGCATCAAAATGCAACGACAAAATCCGAACCCGTACCAACAGCAAAACCAGCAGCAGCAGCAGCAACAGCAGGTGCAGCAGCAATACTCCACCCAGGAGTACTCGCACTCTAGCCAGGAGCAGCACCAGCAGCAAAGGATTAGCCGCACCGAGCAGCATGTCCAGCGCAGCCAAGTCACCACCCAGCGGCAAGGTCAGTCCTTCATTTCGTCCTTGTGTTCGTCACCTGCGTCCTTGAATGTCCCTGCCTGAAGGGCGGCCAATCACAGGGGAAGTTTGCGAGGCTCGGTGGGATTCACACCGTGGATTTAGAATCCCCATCGTCCCCAAGCAATTTCCGCTGGTTGGCCAAAGGATCCAGAAAAAAGCTATTCATCGTCCTGCTTGCTGCTTCACTAAAATGGCCTTGAAATCATTAAATGCTTTTTGTTTTAAATCAAATTAGAAAATCACAGAAATGGGAATTTTACACATAAAAATAATCTGAAATCTTTATGAATAGAGAAATATTTAGTTTTTTTTAACGATTCCACGTTCATTAAAATTGAAGTAATGTTCTTCTGTCACTTTAGAAAAACTAAAGGATTGTAGGATAAAGTCATATATTTTCTAACTCTAACAAAGTTTGTAACAGGAATAAGATGAGCAAAATACTTTCAAATAATTTATCGTACCGATTATACAAGGCCTCCTAAACTTATTAACATATTCTGGTGGTGATTTTTTCATAACTTCTCCACTTCAAAAATAAAGATTTAAATGCGTCAACGGCTATCAAATCCTTATGTTTAGACCATAAACCTAATCAGATTTCTGTGTAACGTAACTTCAATATTAGGATGGTTCTAAAGTGTAATTTGTAATCAAAACTAGATTGATTTCTTTTAAGAGAATTCAAGTTTTTTGACCATAACATTTACATTTGGGCGCCATATTTCACCTGATTGCACCTGTGTAAACTTTGGTTTTTGTAAACAGGAATAAAATTTCTCTGAATTCGTTATATAATATTATATATTGATATCATAAAATGAGAGCTAAAACATTTGGTTGCAGTTTATTTTAGTAATTTGAGCAAAATGTTTGTATGTCCTTGGCGAGAACATCTGTTTTTTCTTTTTGGAAATATTAAATATCATATAAACGTAGGTATCATAAAATAAAAATAAAAGAATGCACCTTGACAGACTAAAATGTTCCAAAAACGTATACCTTAAAAAAATAAATTATCGGTGCCAAAATCGCCGTCGAAATCTGTTTTATATATTTGTAAAATAAACAGGAAAAGATGTTCAGAAATGGACTAATTCAAATATACAAATATAGATTGAAATACGGCCAACATTCGTTTATTTCATTTGGATCATAATCCAGAAAATCTGTTTTATATCTCTCGATTAATCTACCTTGAATCAGCAGATATAAGATATAAGAAATCAAAGGGGAATTTAGAAACATATTCAAACACATTATCTTTAATTATTGTTTTTCTGATATACATGCACATGTGTCACCATTAAAATGTTCAAAAATCAAAAATAAAATCCACCTTCAAAAGTTTTGAAAAGTTTCCAACGCAAACACAGATATATCTGATGTGTCAACTTATGTTTCATCGCTTAAATCTTAATTGATGAACACAGCCGAAATATGAGTCTAATTATATACCTATACATATACATATACATATACATATACCGATACTATATATAAACCGTATAAGAGTTCGTCTACCCAGCGTTTGTTTACATTCCTTGACGATGGCGAGTGCAAGGTGTGAGAGAGTACGGTCTCTGTATTCTCTTATACTAAAAACCCGAAGTTCATTTCCCGAAGATCTTAACCCGAAGCTTATGAGAGAAATCAGAAGCAAAGGTAGCAGAGGATAATATAAAGAGAGATCCGTCAGCTGATTTCCGTTCTTGTTTACCTCGCGCAATTCTTCCGATCAGCTGTCTTGAGAGTCTTCAACCTATATCTACATACCGTTAATGACACACTTTAAGTTTTTCAATTGATAAACAAATGCCTATATATACAATATATATGTACAGGTGCAGACACGGATATAGATATTTATTTAAAGGTGTTTACTTTCGTGAGATTACAACTATAAATAGTTTAGTACGTGTGCCAACTAAATATATGCATCAAAAGCAATTAATGTGAATGAATTTAAGATAGTAAGTTTGATATAAGCTTTTGGATGTTCAATTAATGATAACGTACTCAAATATCTTTTGGGGAATTTCTGGATTTATATTCTTAAATCTTTATTAAAGAGGCTTTTGTAATATTTTTTAATGTACCTTTATAAAACAAAGAACAATAATTAAAATTATTAAAGCAGGAAAAGAATTAACGCAAATAATCATATCTCCTTGAGAAACTTGTCACAAAATTATTTTTTTTAACTTATTATTTCATTTTTTTGCACAGAAAGTAGACTTAAAAACATAAGTTCCCGTATTTCTTTACATATTTACTATTCTGAATATCGCACAATTTTATATTTTTATAATTTTCTACATAACTCAATCATAAATAAACTTAAAATTATAATTGTTTAAAATGATTGTTACATTGACTATAAAAAGTCGATTTGGGTCTATACTTGCTGATTTGGTATTTCATTATAATAGAGTTGAAGGTGAGGGATTAAAAAATATTGGAAATTATTTTTTAAAAAATTGTGAATTAAATGAAATGCTTTTTTCATAATAAATAATGCTGCTTTTGCTATCATTTCCCCAGCATCCTTGAAAATGCATTAATCCTTATTATATGTAATCTTACAGTGCATCAACATCATGGTGGAAGCATCGGAGGCGCCTATGTGCCACCTTCGCTGACACACGTGTATGCCCAGGGCGACATCTCGCCGCCCGTCTTTGAGCAAATCTTTAAGAACGCTCGCTTCGCCCAGGGTGGCAACGCCCTGTTCGAGGGACGCCTGCGTGGCAACCCGAAGCCATTCGTAACCTGGACCCGGAAAGGCGCACCCCTTCTCGAGTCGCAGAAGTTCCGAATGAGCTACAATGAGGCCACCGGCGATGTGTCCTTGCTGATCAACCAGATCGGACCCGGAGACGAGGGCGAGTACACGTGCACGGCCCGTAACCAGTACGGCGAGGCCATCTGCAGCGTCTACATCCAGCCGGAGGGAGCACCCATGCCCGCCCTGCAGCCCATTCAGAATCTGGAGAAGAACATCTACTCCAATGGATATTCGTACACCTCTATTGAGGAAGAGTTCCGTGTGGATACTTTTGAGTACAGGCTGCTCCGCGAGGTCTCGTTCCGTGAGGCTATCACCCGTCGTTCTGGATACGAGCAGGACTCCCAGCTCTCCCAGGAGTTGGACCGCAACCAGGGTCCTGCCCAGGCGCCGCAGATATCGCAGAAGCCACGCAGCTCCAAGCTGATCGAGGGATCCGATGCCGTTTTTACGGCTCGTGTGGGCTCTAACCCGAAGCCCCGCCTGACCTGGTTCCATAATGGCCAGCGTTTGGTGGCCTCGCAGAAATACGAGATCACTTACTCGAGTGGAGTGGCAACGCTCCGTGTGAAGAATGCCACGGCTCGCGATGGCGGTCATTACACTCTGCTCGCCGAGAATCTGCAGGGCTGTGTGGTTTCATCCGCCGTGTTGGCCGTGGAACCCGCTGCGGAAACGGCCTACGAGCCTAAACCCGTGGACGCAACGGCCGAGCAATTGGAGGCTGGTAAGGCATTGCCGCCATCTTTTGTGAAAGCCTTTGGAGATCGCGAGGTCACCGAGGGTCGCATGACCAGGTTCGATTGCCGTGTTACTGGCAATCCTTACCCCGAGGTCTTTTGGCTGATCAACGGCCGCCAAGTCCGCGACGATGCCTCGCACAAGATTCTGGTAAACGAATCTGGCAGCCACTCGCTGATGATCACCAATGTGTCCCGTCTGGATGCCGGAGCTGTCCAATGTCTGGCCCGCAACAAGGCCGGTGAAGTGGCTATCGAGGCGCAGTTTAATGTGCTGGAGAAGGAACAGGTTGTCGCACCACAATTTGTCCAACGTTTCAGCACCATGACTGTGCGCGAAGGCGAGCCGATCACCATGAGTGCCAATGCCATTGGAACCCCGCAGCCGCGTATCACCTGGCAGAAGGACGGCGTCCAGATCTCGTCCACCGCCGAGCGCTTCGTGGGCATTGACGGTGGAGCCACTTGCCTGGAGATTCCGCGCGTAACTGCCGCCGACGCTGGATGGTATCAATGTACCGCCCAGAACATCGCTGGATCAACCGCTAACAGGGCTAGGTTGTATGTCGAAGTTCCTAGGGAACAACCAAGCTATGAGCAACGTCGTCTCAATCTCCCGAGACCAACGAAAGTCATCGAGCCAGAGTGAGTTTTTACTTAGCCAAAATTGTTTTGAGAAATTACTAAAAGAGTGCATCTTATATCAGACCCATTCCTGGCCCTGAAATCATCTACCTGCGCCATGTAGAGCGCGCTAAGCCCCATCTGCGACCTGGTGAGGAGGATCGCGTTTATCCGCCACCCCAGTTCATCATCCCGCTGCAGAATGTGCAGCAGACCGAAGGTGGCCGCGTCCACATGGAGGCCCGCATCGAACCAGTCGGTGATCCGACTATGGTCGTTGAGTGGTACCTTAATGGACGTCCGCTGGCAGCCAGTAAGTAATCTTCACATTAATAAAAAAGAAAAAGGGCTAAAGTTTTCTTTCCCCAGGTGCCCGAGCCACTTCGGTCTTCAAGTTTGGCTTTATCGCTCTGGATCTGCTGAGCATCATGGGCCACGACTCCGGAGAGTACATGTGCCGCGTGAGCAACGCCAGTGGAGTGGCCGAATCCCGCGCCATTCTGTCCGTGGTGCAGCGTCCTTCCATCGAGCAGTCGTCGCAGAACCCGAACAGTCTGCAGTACATCAGCCAATTGGAAGACTACTCTCGCTACCAGCGCACTGAGAGCATCGACGAGCAGCTAAATCAGGCGCCGCAGTTCATCCGTCCGCTCCGCGATCTCGGAGAGTTCGAGGAGGGCAAGAACGTGCACTTTGAGGCTCAGGTTACACCTGTTAATGATCCCTCCATGCGAGTGGAGTGGTACAAGGACGGACTGCCCATTACGGCCAGCTCCCGCATCACCGCCATCTTCAACTTCGGCTACGTCTCCCTTAACATCTTGCACCTGAGGGCCGAAGATGCTGGCACTTATACCGTGCGAGCGGTGAACCGTATTGGAGAAGCCATCAGTCAGTCCTCAATTCGCGTTCATTCGCGTTCCCAAGTCACTGCTGATCTGGGAATTCCAGAGCAGCAGCGTTATATCGAGAAGGTGGAGGAACTGGAGGACTATCGTAAGTCCCAGCAGCGCCGCCATGTCCAGGAGGCTGCCGAGGCTATTGCCCCGCCTCAGTTCAAGACACCGATCCAGAACCAGTTGGATCTGCGCGAGCACGCGCATGCGCACTTCGAGGCTAGGTTGGAACCCATCGGAGATTCCACCATGCGGGTGGAATGGCTGAAAGATGGACAGCCTCTGGAGGCTAGTTCCAGAATCACCACCTACCACAACTTTGGCTACGTGGCTTTGACCATTAAGCAGCTGACCATCTATGATGCCGGCATCTACACCTGCCGTGCCTACAATGCCATGGGCCAGGATACCACCGCTGCCCAGCTGACTGTGATCTCCAAGAACGAAATCGTCTCGGAGTCCCAGCACCCGGGAGGTCTGCAAAAGATTCAGCATCTGGAAGATTCATCGCGCTACGGGCGTCGTGAAGAGGAGGAGACTTACGTCACGCAGGCTCCCCGCTTCCTTGGTCCTCTGAAGGGCACCACCAAAATTCTCGAGGGCCAGCGCGCTCACTTTGAGGCTCGCGTTGAGCCCCAGAGCGATTTGGGTCTAGTGATCGAGTGGTACCACAACGGTCGCTCCATCACCGCCGCTAACCGAATCCAGACCTACTACGACTTCGGCTATGTTGCCCTGGACATTTCCCAGGTGCGCGCCGAGGATGCTGGCGTCTACCTCGTGGTGGCCAGGAACAAGCTAGGTGAAGCTCAGCAGCAAGCAACGATGATAGTGGAAAGTAAGTACAAAGTGGAATGACCTTTAACAGATACAATGACTAAGATTTCTTCCATTTTAGCTCGTTCCAGTATCGACACATCTAGCATGCACCGCGGCCTGTACGAGAAGACCCAAAACTTGGAGAACAAGCCATTCGTGGAGCCTCAGTACGACATCGAGGAGATCTCCAAGTCCAAACCGGTGTTTGTCACTCCCCTGAGCGATCCCAAGCCCATCCACGATGGCAAGAACATCCATCTGGAGTGCCGCTTGGAGCCGATGGGTGATCCCACCATGCGCGTCGAGTGGTTCCACAACGGACGTCCCGTTACTGTGGGTTCCCGTTTCCGCACCTACTATGACTTTGGCTTCGTGGCCTTGGATATCATTAAGGCAACGGCTGCGGATTCTGGCGAGTACACTGTTAGGGCAACCAACCACTTGGGTACAGCCCACACCTCAGCCTGCGTGCGCGTGATTGATCACACGGATGTTGTTACTGAAACCCAGAACGAGCAATCTCTTGAGCAGATCCAACTGCTTGAGGACTCGCGACGCCGCCACCATCAGGAGGAAGATATCACCATTATGCAAGCACCCCAGTTCACCAGGGGTCTGCACAACATCGAAACCATTGAGGGTACCAATGTGCACTTAGAGTGCCGTCTGCAGCCCGTGGGAGATCCCAGCATGCGCATCGAGTGGTTCGTGAATGGAAAACCTGTAAAGACAGGTCATCGCTTCCGTCCTGCCTATGAGTTTGACTATGTGGCCTTGGATCTGCTTGGCTGCTATGCCGTCGACTCTGGTGTTTACACCTGCCAGGCCAGAAACCAACTTGGTGAAGCCGTCACCTCCTGTTCCGTGCGCATTATCGCAAAGAACGATCTGATTTTGGAGACCCAGAACGAATCCGGTCTGCAGAAGATCCAATACTTGGAGGACTCGACCCGTCATCGTCGCAGTGAGTTCGTCGACGAGGTGATCAACATTCGTCCGCGCTTCCTTACCCACCCCAAGAGCTTGACCAACACCCGTGAGGGTGGTCACGCCCACTTTGAATGCAAGATTGAGCCTGTTACCGATCCTAACCTGAAGGTGGAGTGGTTTAAGAACGGCCGTCCCATCACCGTGGGTCACCGCTTCCGTCCCATCCATGATTTCGGTTACGTGGCTTTGGACATCGTGCATTTGATTGCTGAGGATTCGGGTGTATACACTTGCAGGGCTGTTAACCTGATTGGATCTGACGAGACCCAAGTGGAGCTGCAATGCCGCAGCGGTGAGCAGATTGTGACTGTCACCCAGAACGAGGCTGGCTTGGAGCAGATCCACTACCTGGAGGATCGCTCGCGCTATAGCCGCCGTGAGGAAATCGATGAGAGCACCAAGCAGGCTCCAGTTTTCACCACTTCCCTGAAGAACGTTGAGATCAAGGAAAACCAGCGAGCTCATTTCGAGTGCCGCCTGATTCCCGTATCTGATCCGTCGATGCGCGTGGAGTGGTACCACAACAATCTCCCACTGAAGTCTGGTTCTCGTTTCACTGAGACCAACAACTTCGGCTTTGTGGCCTTGGATATTATGTCCACTCTGCCCGAAGATGCCGGCACTTACACCTGCCGTGCCTTCAACGCCGTGGGAGAGGCCATCACCTCTGCTGTGGCGGTCGTGCACACCAAGAAATCCATTTATCTGGAGTCGCAGCACGAGACCGCTCTGCCACGTCTGCAGCATTTGGAGGATGGTTCCAAGCGTCAGCGTATCAGCGTTCAAGATGAGTTTGTGTCCCAGGCTCCCGTCTTCACCATGCCGGTGAGGGATGTCCGTGTGGCTGAGAACCAGGCCGTGCACTTTGAGGCTCGCCTGATCCCAGTGGGAGACCCCAACTTGAAGGTGGAGTGGCTGCGTAATGGTCAACCCATCGAAGCATCGAACCGCACCACCACCATGCACGACTTCGGTTATGTAGCCCTCAACATGAAGTATGTGAATCCCGAAGACTCCGGCACCTACACTTGTCGGGCTGTCAACGAGCTGGGCCAGGCAGTGACCTCCGCCTCGCTTATTGTCCAATCAAAGACGTCCATTCAGCTGGAGACCCAGCACGAGGCCGCCATGCATAAGATCCACCAGTTGGAGGATCACAGCAGGTACCAGCGTAGGGAGGAGGAGGAGTACACGGTGACCACCGCTCCGGTGTTCGTTACCAAGCTGATTGGTCCCAGCAATCTGGTCGAGGGTCAGAGTGCCCACTACGAGTGCCGCATTGAGCCCTACCCAGATCCCAATCTGAAGGTGGAGTGGTTCCACAATGGAAAACCCCTCAGCACTGGTCATCGCTTCCGTACTACCTACGACTTTGGATTTGCCGCCTTGGACATTCTGACCGTTTACGCAGAGGATAGCGGCGAGTACACTTGCCGAGTGACCAACAACCTGGGTGAGGCTGTCAACTCGATTGTTTTGAACGTCTCTTCGCGCTCATCCATCATCCATGAGACCCAGCACGAGGAGGCTTTGACCAAGATCCAGCATCTGGAAGATTCTTCGCGCTTCCAGAGGAAGACCGACGAGGAGCAGTTCCATGCCGAACGTCCTCAGTTTGGACGCCCACTGCGTAATGCCAAGGTCAACGAGGGAACTCCCGTCCATCTGGAGGCCACTTTGATCCCTGTGAATGATCCCACTATGAAGGTGGAGTGGTACTGCAATGGTAGACCTATTCAGACTGGTCACCGTTTCAAGACCACCTACGATTTTGGCTTCGTGGCGTTGGATATTCTGTATGCCCATGCCGAAGACACTGGCACCTACATGTGCAAGGCCAAGAACGCCATTGGAGAAGCTGTCACGACTTGTGCTGTAAACGTAACAGGTAATTTCCGAAGCCTTGTCAGGAATTTTCAAGATTTAACTAATACTCTTTCATCCTCTCTCTTTCTAACAGCAAACAAGACACTCGACCTGGACACCTTGGATGCTCAGCGTCTGGAGAAGATTCGCCAGCTAGAGAACTATGCTCCTCCCACTAAGCCCGTGGTGGAGGAGAAGGGCCAGAAGCCCATTTTCCTTACTCCGCTGAGCAACCTGGAACACCTTAAGGAGGGCGAACACGCCCACTTGGAGTGCCGAGTGGAACCGATCAACGACCCCAACCTGAAAATCGAGTGGTTCTGCAACGGCAAGCAACTGCCTACAGGCCACCGTTACCGCACCACCCACGACTTCGGCTACGTCGCTTTGGACATCCTTTATGTCTATGGCGAGGATACCGGCACCTACATCTGTAAGGCCACTAATCAGCTGGGTGAGGCTGTAAACACCTGCAATGTTCGCGTTTTGAACCGTCGAAGCATGATTCTGGATACCCAGCATCCCGATGCTCTGGAGAAGATCCAGAAGCTGGAATCGAAGGTGCCTAACGCCCGTACCGAGGTTGGAGATGCTCCTATTAGTCCTCCTCATTTCACCGCCGAACTTCGCGGCTCAACTGAGATCTACGAAGGACAGACGGCTCACTTTGAGGCCCAGGTCGCTCCAGTTCACGATCCCAACTTGCGCATTGAGTTCTATCACAATGGCAAGCCTTTGCCCTCGGCTTCTCGTTTCCACATCACCTTTGACTTTGGATACGTTTCTTTGGACATCACCCATGCTGTGGCCGAGGACGCCGGAGAATATTCCGTTCGTGCTGTTAACGCTTTGGGACAGGCTGTCTCGTCTACTAATCTGCGCGTAATTCCGCGTGGTACCATCATTTCGGATACCCAGCATCCCGAGGGTCTGGAGAAAATCCGCAAGCTGGAGTCGACGGCGCCGCATCAGCGCCAGGAGCCAGAGACGCCTGGAACACGCCAGCGTCCGGTGTTTACTCAACCTCTTCAGAACATCGACAGGATCAATGAGCACCAGACGGCTCACTTCGAGGCGCGCTTGATTCCTGTTGGAGATCCCAACCTGAAGGTAGAGTGGTACCGCAACGAGAAGATTATCGAGGACAGCTCGCGTATCACCAAGCAGCACGACTTTGGATTCGTCTCCCTCGATATTTCGCACATCCGCAAGGAGGACGAGGGCGTGTACATGTGCCGCGCAGTCAATCCTCTGGGCGAGGCTGTAACCACCGCTTCTATGCGCGTGGTGTCCGAGGCCAGCATCCAGATGGATACCCAGCATCCAGACAGCATTAGCCGAATCCACCAGCTGGAAAAACCAGTGGCCCCACGACCAAGCGAGCCTGAGCGTCTCTTTGAGAAGCCCATCTTCACTCAACTGCTCACTGGCCCGTCGGAGCTGTGGGAAGGTGCTCATGCCCACTTCGAAGCACGTGTCGTGCCTGTGGGTGATCCTTCGCTTAAGTTCGAGTGGTTCATCAATGGAGTGGAGCTGCAAATGGGCTCCCGCCTGCGCACCACCCACGACTTTGGCTTCGTCACTTTGGACATTACTGCCGTGGTGCCAGAGGACGCTGGTGTCTACATGTGCCGTGCTTACAACGCCGCTGGTGAGGCTGTGTCCTCCACTGCTATGAAGGTTAAGACCAAGTCTAACATCGATGGTCAGCCTTTGATTCCGGAGTCTTGGGAAGCTATTAGGCTGAAGGAGGCTGCCATGAACCGCGTCCCAGAAATGTTTGTGGACTCAACACCCCAGCAGGCTCCAGTGTTCACCACCCATCTGCAGAGCTACGACAAGCTGCATGAGGGTCAGCACGTCCTCTTGGAAGCCCAAGTGGAGCCACGTGCCGATCCAAACCTTCGCATTGAGTGGTTCAAGAATGGTATTTCTCTGACCACTGGATCCCGCATCCGCAGCACCTTCGACTTCGGACTGGTCACTCTGTCCATCAACGGATTGCGTGCTGATGATTCGGCTATTTACACCTGCAAGGCCACTAACCAGGTTGGAGAAGCTGTCTCGACTTCCTCTCTCAAGATCGAAGATCGTCACTGGCTTCAGGCTGAATCCTTGCATCCGGATTCATTGCCTCGCATTGGTGAGTTGGAGGCACCCAAGGAGGGACGTCCTGAGGCTCCAGAGCCGACTTACGAGACTCCTGTGTTCATCACTCATCTGAACAACATCGAGTGCAAGGAGAGCGACAACGTGCGCTTCGAGTGTAATGTGGAGCCTGCTCGTGATCCCACCATGTCTATCGAGTGGTTCTACAACGGACAGCCACTGCAGGCCGCTGCCAAGTTCAAGTCCATCTATGACTTTGGCTACTGCGCTTTGGATCTGACCAACTCCTATGCTGAGAACAGTGGTGTGTACACCTGCAAGGCCACCAACAGCAAGGGATCTGCTACCACCTCAGGCACGCTCAAGTGCACTGGTGGCAAGACCATGTTCCTCGACACCCAGCATCCGCAGGGTGAGGCCGGTCTTGAGGCTGTTCAGGAAACCGAGGAGGAGCTAGCCAATCGCTATACCAGCAAATCTACCAAGCCTGAGACCCAATATCCACCACCAGTATGGACCAAGCCACTGCAGGCCGAATTCCATCTGTCGGAAGCTCAACCCATCCATCTGGAAGCCAACGTAGAACCCAAGGAGGATCCGAACTTGTTCATCGAGTGGTACTTCAATGGCAAGATGCTGCAGCACGGTTCTCGTTTCAAGATGACCAGCGAGTTCGGCTTCGTTACCATGGACATGATCGAGGTCTATGCCCGTGACCAGGGCATTTACACCTGCAAGGCTTATAACAAGGCTGGAGAGGCCTTCACCTCAACCACCATCTTCTGTTCGAGCAAGGAGAACATTATCGATTCTACCCAGCACCCGAAGGGAGCTGAGGGCTTGGAACAGATCCAGGATCTGGAAGACTCCCTGCGCAAGGATGGCTCTAAGCCAGAGCAACCGGATCTGGGTATCCCACCACGCTTTACCACCGAGTTTGTTAACATCGCAGACATTGGTGAGGGTGAGTTGGCTCACTTTGAGGCTAATCTTATTCCTGTCGGCGACCAAAGCATGGTCATCGAGTGGTTCTACAATGGCAAGGTGCTGGAAGCCAGCCACCGTGTGCGTACCATTTACGCCTTCGGTACAGTCGCCTTGGAGGTTCTTGGAACCAAGATCGAGGACACGGGCACCTACACTTGCCGCGCCACCAACAAGCATGGAACCGCTGAAATCAGCTGCAACCTTGAGTGCGTGGACAAGCCAAGGGGCCAGAAGCCGCGCTTTACATCCCACATCCAGCCGCTGCAGGGCCTGAAGGACGGTCAATCCGCTCATTTCGAGTGCACTCTGATCCCAGTCAACGACCCGGAACTGAAGGTGGAGTGGTACCACAATGGCAAGCTGATGCGTCACTCCAACCGCATCAAGACCGTGTCCGACTTTGGATACGTCGTCTTGGACATTTCCTATCTGCAGGATCATGACAGCGGAGAATATGTTTGCCGGGCTTGGAACAAGTACGGCGAGGACTTTACCCGCACCACTCTCAATTGTGGAGGCCGTGGAGGAGTCTTCTATGACAGTTTGCAGCCTGATTCGTTGCAGAGGATCCGGGAGTTGGAATGCCCTCAAGGACAACAGACAGATACTTCCGCTCCTCTGGTCGCTGAGCCACCCAAGTTCATTACCCAGATCGTGGATGTAACCAAACTGGTGGAGGGACAGTCTGCTCACTTTGAGGCACGTTTGACTCCCATCACCGATCCCGATTTGGTGGTGGAATGGTATTTCAATGGAAAGAAACTGCCACATGGTCACCGTTTCCGAACCTTCCATGACTTCGGAATCGTCATCCTGGATATCCTGTACTGCTACGAGGAGAACTCCGGAGTATACGAGGCCAGGGCTCACAATAAGTATGGCGAGGATGTCACCCGTGCTACGCTTAAGTGTGCCTCGAAGGCAAGCCTTATCCTGGACTCCCAGCTGCCGCGAGGCATGGAAGGTGGTCTGGAGAAGATCGCCAACCTGGAGTACAGCATGGTCCGCACTCGCGAAGAGACTACTGAAGAGACCAAGGGCAAGGCTCCTGTATTCACTGTGCCGCTGGAGAACATCGACAATCTGCGCGAAGGTGAGAATGCCCACTTCGAGGCCAGGATTACCCCAGCCGATGATCCCAAGTTGAAGGTCGAGTGGTACTGGAACGGTCGTCCATTGAAGGCCGGTTCTCGTTTCCGTACTTTCTGCGACTTTGGATTCGTCATTCTGGAGATTTCTCCTGTATATCCCGAGGATTCCGGCGAGTACTCTTGCCGTGCAAGCAACGAGTATGGTGAGGCTGTGACCACTGCCACAATGAAGATCCAAGGTAAGCGCAGCATCATCATGGAATCTCAGCTGCCTAAGGGAATGGAGGGAACAATCGATCGTATCGCCGAACTGGAGGGACTTGGCTCCCGCAGCACCGAATTTGTGCCAGATGACGATACTGGCAAGCCACCAGAGTTCATCACCTCACCATTCGACATGGTCATCGGCGAGAATGCTCTGGCTCACTTTGAGTGCCGTCTCCAGCCGATCAACGACCCATCGATGCGTGTGGATTGGTTCCACAATGGCAAGGCCTTGTGGGCTGGCTCCCGTATCAAGACCATCAACGATTTTGGCTTCGTAATTCTCGAAATTGCCGGTTGCTATCAACGCGATTCGGGATTGTACACTTGCAAGGCCACGAACAAGCATGGTGAAGCCACCGTCTCTTGCAAGTTGCAGGTCAAGGGTCGTCAGGGCATCGTTATGGAGCCCCAGCTGCCCTCGAACTTCCGCACTGGCACTGAGAGCCTGCAGAAACTGGAGGAGAGCATGCACAAGCGTGAGGAGCTTGTTATCGATGACGAACAGCCAAATCCACCCAAGTTCACCGAAGACATTAAGGACAATCTGGATGTGCCCGAAGGTGGCCCCATTCACTTTGACTGCCGTGTTGAGCCTGTGGGCGATCCTACCATGCGCATTGAATGGTTCTACAACGGTCATGTCATGGCTACTGGATCAAGGGTCCATCAGCTCAATGACTTTGGCTTTATTGCTTTGGATGTTGACTACATCTATGCTAGGGACTCTGGAGAGTACACTTGTCGCGCTACCAACAAGTGGGGCACTGCCACCACCACCGCCAAGGTCACCTGCAAGGGTAAACACAATATTGTGTATGAATCGCAGCTGCCCGAAGGCATGACCTCCGAAAAGTTGAAGGAATTGGAGCGCGGACGCATCCCAGAGGCCCCGAAAGTGGTTGAGGAGGAGTTTGGACCACCAAAGTTCACCACGCAGATCACTTCGGTGACTGTCGATGAAGCCGAGGCCGTGCGATTTGAGTGCCAGGTGGAACCCAAGACGGATCCCAGCCTGCGCGTGGAATGGTACCGCAATGGCAAGCCCCTGCCTTCTGGACACCGTTACAGGAACATCTTTGACATGGGCTTTGTTTCCTTGGATATCCTATACGTTTACGGAGAGGACTCCGGAGAGTACGTGTGCCGTGCCATCAACAATCATGGCGAAGATCGCACAAGGGCCACAGTGTCCTGCAAGAGTACGTTGGACTTTTCATCTTTCCTTTTCTGTTTTTTAATGTATTTTTTGTTTTAGAACTGCCAACTATCTTGCTCCAGAACCAAGTGCCTCGCGGCATGAAGCGTTCGGATGCTCTTACCCAAATGGAAGCCACCATCAAGAAGTATACCTCTGAGGTGCATTTGACCGAGGATGATCTCTTCGATCCCGATCGCAAGCAGCCTCCTCGTTTCGTCACCCAGATCAAAGAACAGCTCACTCTTACCGAGATGGCAGTGACCAAATTCGAATGTCAGTTGGCTCCTGTGGGAGATCCTAACATGAAGGTCGAGTGGTTCTTCAATGGCAAGCCCTTGCTGCACAGTATGTTCTTTAAGGAAGTAGAAACATTTCAGTCCTAAATATATTCTTTCCCCTGCAGAGAATCGCTTCCAGCCCATCTACGATTTCGGTTATGTGGCCATGAACTTCGGCTGGGTTTATCCCGAAGACAGTGGAGAGTACGTGTGCCGTGCCACTAACTTGTATGGCAAGGATGAGACACGTGCCTTCATTAAGGTTTCTGGCAAGCCAGGCATTGTCTACGACTCCCAACTGCCCGCTCACATGCAGAGCATTGACCGCATCCGCGAAATGGAAGCCTCATGGCAGGTGTAAGTGTCTCGTTTAACATTATTAACCATATTAAGGAGGAGGTTCCTTCGAGTTCTATATAATAAATTTGGTTCTCGCTTTTAGGGTTCCCGACGAGGTTGATCCCGATGCCAAGCCCAGAACCAAGCCGGTCTTTGTAAGCAAGCTTGAACCCCAGACTGTGGAGGAAGGTGATTCAGCTAGGTTCTGTGTCCGTGTAACCGGACACCCACGTCCTAGAGTTATGTGGCTAATCAATGGACACACTGTTGTGCACGTAAGTCCACTAAAGATTGAATATAGAGATCGTAAAACTAAGGAATGGTCTTCTTTAGGGCTCCCGCTACAAGCTGACCAACGATGGTATGTTCCATCTGGATGTTCCGAAGACACGTCAGTACGATACCGGCAAGGTGGAGGTAATTGCCCGCAACTCAGTGGGTGAATCGATTGCCAGCACTGAACTCAAGGTTGTTGCCCGTTCGGACGACTATCGTAATGTGCTAAAGAACTCGCCACGTCGTAAGTCTAATTTTCAATACACGCCAGAAGATCTGGAATCGATTACTTATATAACAGCTATTAGAACGTTAACAATTTTAAAACGCAGTAGACTTTAGCTGACCAAACTTAATATGGACACCACATGCTATATCACAATAAGAAACTCATTGTAAATATATACATTCCAACATACAACATGCCACAAAAGTTTACATAGCCGTAGCACCCAAGTTAATTGCACTATAGCCACATTCCAGTAGTTAAAACTGTTAACACAACAAAAACAAATTACCCAAAGTCCCAGAAAAAAGCTTTCCAAATCCCAAAAAATCCCCCAATAAGAACCGAATAAGGTACTCCAGTCGGCGAGAGACTTCAAGAGAGGAGATCGCACAGAGGAAACCAAGGAAAGGGACTTCCTATGTATTGCCGGAACCGGGGTAATATGGTTATAACGTAGTTTTGCGTGTGCACTTTCCGTCTGTTATAAACTGTGGTTATCATCCAGCTGGTCATTGACCCCCTTTCTTTATCTACTCATTTGCTGTTCCCCTTAAAAAAGATACCAAAAGAGCTAGTGAACCTCTGTGGAAACCCCATTGAAATCTTAACCCTTAAATCATAATTTCTACTAAGTCGCTCCATTGTAAATAATTTTAAGGTCTTATGGCATGTAATTTATTTTATAACGTTAAAATATCAACCAGAAAACGCATGTGTTTGAGCTATAACTGCCTTCACGAAGTATAATCGTTTGATCAAATCTATGGAGCACTGAATAATCCTCTGAATCCTTGTTTAGCATGGTATGATTACGAACTAGCCGCTTATCAGAAGGAGCGCCAGGAGAATGAGCTGGAGAAGGTATTCGACGAGCGTAAGCAGGTCCTTTCCGAGCAGAGCACCCATGTGTTGAAGGGCGTGGAGCATCTGAAGCCCAAGCAATACAAACCACCCACTCCCGACTGGCAGCAAAACGTCAAGGCCAAGAAGAGCGAGGATTACTACAACAAACTGCAGACACTGGAAACTGAGCAGCTACTGAAGGAGACCAACCTGCGTAGGGATACTCATCAGTACGCCATTCCCGGCGAGAAGGTCGTGAGCAGCTCTCAGGCCAAGGGCATGGCCCAATCCTACGAAGAAAATCTGTAAGTTTACAAGCATTCTACCAATTATCCAATTATCTAGATAACTTGAGTAATCCTATTTCTGCCCCTTTAGTCAGGAGAAGACCAGCACCACTCAGGTGCAGGCTGCCCCACCCAAGGGCACCGCTGAACCCTCTGAGTCTTCTGTCCATGGACGTGAGGTTCATATGAACAAGCAACAGCAGGTCCAGAAGGAGATCCAGGGTGACCTCGAGATTACCCGCAAGATCACCGCCACTGAGACCACCGAGGTGGAGCACAAAGGCACCATTCAGGAGCGCGTTGTTCAGGGTCCCGTAAAACCAGCTAAGGCTCCGGTCTTTACCAAGAAGATCCAACCCTGCCGCGTATTTGAAAACGAGCAAGCCAAGTTTGAAGTGGAATTCGATGGAGAGCCCAATCCCACGGTGAAATGGTACCGTGAGAGCTTCCCCATTCAGAACTCTCCAGATCTGCAGATTCACACCTTCAGCGGCAAGTCGATTCTTATCATCCGCCAGGTGTTCGTCGAGGATTCAGCAGTGTTCTCCTGTGTGGCTGAAAACCGTGGAGGAACCGCCAAGTGCAGTGCCAATCTGGTAGTCGAGGAACGTCGTCGTGCCGGAAAGGGAGGCATTCAGCCACCTAGCTTTGTGACCACCATCCAGAGCACCACTGTGGCCACCGGACAGCTGGCTCGCTTCGATGCCAAGGTCACGGGAACGCGTCCCCTGGACGTTTACTGGCTTAAGAACGGCATGAAGATTCAGCCAAGCATCAAGTTCAAGATGCTGGAGGAGGACAATGTTCACACTCTGCTCATCATCGAACCCTTCGCCGAGGATTCCGGTCGCTACGAGTGTGTGGCTGTCAATGCTGCTGGAGAGGCCCGCTGCGATGGCGATTGCGTTGTGCAGTCGCCCAGCAAGCCGGAGAAACCAAGCACTCCAGGCAGTGAGAAGGCCCCACACATTGTGGAGCAGCTGAAGAGCCAGTCCGTGGAGGAGGGAAGCAAGGTCGTTTTCCGTTGCCGCGTGGATGGCAAGCCCACTCCAACCGCACGCTGGATGCGTGGCGAGAACTTTGTCAAGCCATCGCGTTACTTCCAGATGAGCCGCCAGGGCGAATACTACCAGCTGGTCATCTCAGAGGCCTTCCCCGAGGATGAGGGAACTTACAAGTGCGTGGCCGAGAACAAACTGGGCAGTATTCAGACCAGCGCTCAGTTGAAGGTTCGTCCCATCGAGAACCTGGATGCCCCGCCCACCATCACCGCCCTCAAGGATGTCTCCGTCACCGAGGGCATGCCTGCCCAGTTCAAGACGACGGTGACCGGCAAAGTGAAGGCCACCAGCGTGCAATGGTTCCGCGAGGGTCAGCTGATCCCAGAAACACCCGATTTCCAGGTGGGTTGAGTTAAAAATAAATTTCTCTTCGCATCTTACTATGTAAATTTGTCAAACATAACCATAGCTACCAGCAATTCTACCTGATAATATAAATTTAAAACTAATAATTTTCCATATTTGTAGATGATCTTCGATGGCAACAGCGCTGTGCTCCTGATTGGCACCACCTACGAGGAGGATTCGGGCATCTTCACTGTACGCGTAACCTCGTCCACCGGCCAGGTCGAATCCTCAGCCAAACTGACTGTTAAAAGTAAGGATTAAACTAAGACTAAGCCAAAACCGAATCCAGAGTTCGAAACCAAGCAAAACCAAACGTAAGCGAACCGTGTTCAAACAAACAAACAAACCAACCAACATCAACAAACCAACTCCAAAGAATGCTCAAAAAAAGAAAAAGAAAAGAACAAAAACAAAAACAAAACAACGACCGTGAAGAACTTTTACTATTAATCCCCGAGTTACTGACGTATTACAAACAGTTACTACTACCCCTCAACCTACCTATATATATGATCAACTACTAGTCGTAAAAGTTTGAGTGAAGAATATTTTAAAGCGAACCTGTCGAAACTTTCAACATGGATTTTTTTCTAAACTATCAAACGAACGAGTTATTTTTACTAACCATTGCAAAATGTCAAAAAGAAAAGCAGCAAAAATATTTAATTTAAAGATGTCTAACAAGAAAAACGTATTCGAAAAAGAATCGCAAAAAAAAAAACTACAAAAATGAAAGCAATTTTTAATTGAAAAATAATAAAAATAATTACAAGTATTTTGCAACATAAATATTTATAGAACATTTTTCTTCTTTCTGGCTCGGCCAAGACAGCAGCAGCAGAAGCAACAACAGCAGCCATTAAATGAAATTTGAAAATTTCTGAGTGAAAGTGGAAATGACTCAAAAGCAAATGTTGAATATAGATCTCTAGCCCCTTGAGTTGAGTTATAAATACGGCAGGCAGGCAGCTTATGTACTCTGAGCATTTACCAAGCAGGCCACTTTAAGCATACATAATAATATTTTTTCAGTACCCGTTCCCGTCCGTAAATATACCTATAGAATTATACGAGTATAGATATTATGTGCCTCATCTATGAGTAGGATAGTTTTGGGGCCGTGTGCAAAACGCACATTTGTCCCGCCTCCGCTCGAGCGTGAAAGTTTTATTTTTCATTTGAATATTAGCATAAAATATTATGGATGACACATCTAGCGCACACTCACCGTGGGCCTCATGGCGATGCCAGTGGTGCGCGTATCTTGTATCTAACAGATACACATTTCCCATTTTCCATTTCCCCATTTACCCCCAGTGAACGTGCGCAAAAAACTAGCACAAATCGAGCAGAGACCAAACTGAAAATATCGAAAGCCTTTCAGCTGCCATACAACTCTGACATATAAGCATATGTACGCCCAGTGGCTGTTCTATTTTCAATTTCTTTTTGGAGAATGTTTGGCTTTCGAGAACTAATTTCCAATAGATTAGCGTTAAAAAATCCGTTTCGCTATTTTTAGTAGGGCGTAGCTGTCTGGATTTCTAGCTTTCGGCTTTCAGCTACAATGAAAAACATTTATATATTTTCTCAAGTAAATCTTGAAATTTATTTCAATTTTCTTTCAATAAAACGAAAACACCGAAACCGAAATAAATATATTTGCTTAGGCATACAGGGTTTTTCTTAGGTTCTAGAAAAAAAAACAGAATGATAAATTACCTGTTGTTGTTGTTTCTGCTGCTGTCTATAAGGTGGATCAGGCAGAGATGAGAGATATACCGATGTTAGTCGGGCGACTCATGCACTTGGCCATTAGAGAAGAACATGAATTGATGATTCTGTTTATGGTGCAGAAACGAATTTAATTAGATTAATCAGTTACGGCTGTTCAGTCATCGAGCCGCGAGCTTCTGTGATTCATAGTTGCACTTAGTTTTAAATATTTTTAGCTGCCAGGCCGAAGCAGATCCTCATCTTCAAGTGATGGTTTCGCCATTGTAGTGTCCCCTTCTGAAAGAGAAATCCATGTTAGAAAGGGTTCGATAGGATGCTTTAAGATACTATTTCTTAGATGACTTTTACCAACAAATCCGAACCGTACGCTCCGGTCCTTCAGTCCATCCATCGATGATGATGATGATGTTGATAATAGGAGATATTTATATGTCGATGAACTTGTATTGTTTATTTAATTGAATTTAATTTAATTGAACTTTATTTATTTTGTAGTGATGTTGCATGAGATTTTATTATTCATTTTTTATTACCGCTTTATACTAATTCGTTTCGTTACCATACTGTTTGTTCTCGTTCACCAACAATCAATCAATCAATCATCCATTTCGTGTACAAATCCAAACGAATCTCAATTGAATTTGCCGCTTGTGCCGCCAATATGTTGACTACTTTTTGTTACATGTTTTCCTTTGTGGCGAGAAGCTTTACTAAAAAATTAATCATAAAAACTCATGCG